GGTAGTGATAGCTGCGGTGAAAGGATGTCTGGTGGGGCATCAAGACCAGGATGAGGCATACTTGGTTGTTCAACTTTGGTGTTTAAATGATTTTTCATTGAGGCGATGGTGAACAAACTTTGAGGTTTCGTGGTCGTGCCTCCCTCATCCTGTACCCGGGTTTCGCACCTGACTGACGTAGAACCGAGCCGAGCGAGCTTGCGGCCTATGTGAGCCCATATTCAGGACAGGCGTCGGTGGATGGCTTGGCCGACTGTATGTTCTGCCGTGGCTCTCCCATGTTGTGGGCTAGGGTAGAGCACGCACCCTCACTTCTCTTCCACTCTTCGCCTGCCCTCAGTGATGCAGTTTTGCGTGATTGTCTCAAGCATCGCCGCCTTTATTCTCAAAGTGTGTATGGCGTCTTCAAGGTCTCCACCCTGAGAAACCCACGTGCTTGTGCTGACCCATGTTGATGGGTGAATTCTTGGCTTCTGTCTGCGGCGCAGATCAAGTGGCTGGCTTGGCTGGCCCTCTTCTCGGCTGCCGCTTATTTGGCAAACTCAAAGTACAAATCCGGCAGCAACTCGTTTGCCATTATCCCGTAGGTCAATCATTACTCTCGCCCAAAATTGGTTGTCTTTGCCGCCACTTTTGGTGGCCGTTGCGCCTGCCTCCCCTGACCGCTGCTCGCGTGCACCCAGAGCGGCCGTCATGTCCTTGGTCATGGCCTATCAGCAGCGTCCAGCGTCGAGCTGAGCAAGGCGGTTTTAGTCCAGGTTCAAGGGTAGTTGCGTCTGCTCTTTTGAACTTGAAATGTGAAGAAGAAGGACGACGCTGAGCACAAAGCATCGATGCACACAAGATCTTTCGAAAGGCCGAGCAAAGCCCGAGCCTCCCATCCCGAGCCATCGACAAGGAGTCGGTCCGACGCCAAGACGCTTGGCCTGTATAGTCTTTGCACGCAATGTGCACCCCGCTTGTAGGTCCACACTTGTGACGAAGATGATGTTCAGGACCAGCAATCGAACCTCCAATGTACAGTGTATTGAGCAGCCGATTATTTTCCAGCACCGAGAAAGTTGACCTCCGACTTCGCCGCCTGTCTTTGACTGCTCTCCACTGAGCGCTTTTGATCCGCATGGGCTGGCCGAGGACGAGGCGATCCCACTTGAGCAATCTGCACTCTTTCTTGCGTGCTTGGACCCGACTCGTCCACGCCCTTTCGATGCCGCACATGATAGAGTACCCATGACACACAAGCAACTTCCGCATTACAGTATGCGGTGTAAGATGAGTTGGGTTATTTGCTGAACCCTGCCACACCCCTTGTGTAGTAGCAACTGCATCCAAGGGACAGAGAATGCTTGTCACAGGGCGCACGGCTGAGCATGGGCAGTTGAACGTTAGATTGGGGTGGTGAACCAGCAGTGTTAGTGTGGCCAGGAAACTGCGGGCTGACAGATGAGCAACAATTTCTCGGCCCTTTGTCAATTTGATGTCTTTGTGTACCACGGCCGTTGGGCCTGTCAAAACCCGGTCGTACGCTTGAGCCGGCCCGGCGAAGCTTTGGGCCAGAACATCCTTGCGCGTGTTGATCAAGAGTTGGCGCATCCCCGGACAAAGGCGGACAAATGATGCCGTGGTCAAAGGGCCATTCACAGAAAGAGAGGGCCTGACATACCCAGAGCTGTTTCACTCATGGTGCGCTGACCAAACGGGCCAAGCTCTTCATAAACAGTGCCGTTTTTGCAATCACAGCCAACACAGCTTCCACCGCCAGAGGCGATGGCAACACGGTCGGAAACGAGACACGAGCTGACGAGATAAAGCCGGCGAAACAGCGGTAGAAATGCCTGCCACTTGATCAGAGTTGATCATCGGAAAAGCAGCCCCGCAGTCCCAATGAGTTCAATGGGAGCATTGTTATTCACCAGCGGGACAGGCCACACGACACGTGACAAGTTCTTGGACAGGACTTCGTCGTGCTCGTCTGCCCCGCCTTGCCTGGCCCGCCCCATACAGCGTCACAGGCCATACCATAGTTGTCAATACGGGTCATCATGTTGAGGAGGTCTCCGCCTGGCCCATACTCTGCCTTTCACCGTTTTGTTAGTCTGCCTGAGTGCCCACTGCTTGGCTGCGTCTGCATCTGCGTCTGCGTCTGCAGCTGTGATAGTGGCTGCATGAGTGGCTGCATGAGTGTCAGTGTCAGTGGCTGCATGAGTGTCAGTGTCAGTGTCAGTGTCAGTGCCTGCATGAGTGTCAGTGTCAGTGTCCAGTGCCAATGTCAGTGCCTGCGTCTGCCGTTTGCGTGTTCTTGGCTTCCTATCCCCTACCGACGCTTTGCTTCTGTTCTTTCGACTCGCGCTTTGGTGCAAGACTTGATGCGTTTTGGATGCCACCAGAAAGAAAGGCTGCTATGACTTGGACGGCTGTCAGCGCATGGAGGCGATGCTCCAACTGGCCTCCCACCCATCCAGCCAGCCATCATCACCAACACACAGGCAGCAACACTGTTACATGCCAGGCATCATCATCATCAAACCACTCCTTGTGCTCCGTGTCCGCTCAATCCCAGCTGATGGGACCATGTACGACGTCAATACCTATCATCTGCGTAGCACATGTCCAAATACAGATGGAAGGATCGGGTTTGGACCGTCAGCGGGATCGGAATTCCGATCCCGAGGCGTCCCATGCTGATCCAATTCGTGAATCGTGTGCCGATGGATGACTTGGCCGCCACCAGCCGCCGACAGGGTTTTGCGGCGAACCAGCACCCCTCAGCCGAAGCATCCCCTCCGCCTGACCATGCCTTCACACGTCACTTGCACTGACAAGGAGAGAAAGGAAAAAAAAAAAAGAGAGAGAGAGAGAGAGAGAGAGAGAGAGAGAGAGAGAGAGAGAGAGAGACAACGAGAAATCAAAAGAAGAGAAAAGACAAGGGGCAAAGCGGCTACTGCTGCTACTGGGTGTGCGCCACTGGACGCTACTGCGACTGAGACTGTGCTGCCGAGTGTGCAAACGTTGTCTGCAAACGGGGCCACCGCTCCTTGGCTCGCTCGTTCGCCGGCATTCATGAGCCAGTTTCTGGTCAGCTTCAACCTCGCTAGTACGGGCTCCGTTTTCCCTGAATACATGAAGTCGGGGCGTCGCTGCAAACCAGCTGTCTCGCACCCTTGCTTTTCAAAGCACATCTCCACGCACTTTTTGCCCACGATCCCCCCCTCATTTTACCCATCCGGGACCGAACCCGCGGTCCCGCTTGCACTTTTCTCGCGTCGACCACACGCTGGTCGCACCCTCTAACGTTGGTGCCTAAGTTTGCCCGATGGCCCTGCCATCGCCTTTGCTACCTGGCCTGACTGTTTGTTCAAGTTTATCCTCCCCCAGACATACGCAAGTCCTGGCTCCGCCATCACGATCCACTCTCCACACCTGCCGGAAGCATTGGCCTGCGGGTGAGGAGGGGAAAAGAATCAGAGGGGCTTGGGTCGAGTAAAGAAAGGCGGACCTTAGTCCTGGGCAGCCTGGCGGGCGTGGCGTCGCCCACCACAGCCGATGCTGGCGGCCCTGCCAAGCCAGCGACGAGACCAATCGTCGACCGGCTTCCTCAACCTGGTGGGGCCACGCTTGTGCGCCAGCCACGCTGCCGCAACTTGGTGCCCAGTCAGCTTTTCGCCTCGTGCCGTACCCATGGCGTCAGAGCCAACAGAGCTTGACCCTGACAGACGCAAGGACACCATGACCCTGGACGCCCGCGGTGCGTCCGATCGATTGGAGGGCGCCAATCCCGTGGCCCGTCAACTCACGACCGAGCACGAGAAGTATCAGCGCACGCAAGTCCGACCCAAAGTGCCTCACCAGTACCCCTGCACTCATTGCACGGCCGTGCTCAGTACTCGATATGCTCTGCGCCGACATATCGAAGGTCAACACGGTGGCGTTCAACGGGTACAATGCCCTTTCTGCGATTACACCAGCAAACAAAAGCAGAATGTCAAGCGACACATTGGCAGCCGCCACAACGCCCGTGTCTGCAACATATGCAACTTCTGGTCCTCCACGCAGCCCATTACCCCAAATCTTGATAGCTTCGCGCCACAACAGCTGGCCTGTGACTGCGACCCAACGCCCGCCAGTACAATGCCACCCATCGCCAGCGCCCCGAAGCAAGACGAACAACATGGCGGGGCTGAGCTAGCCTTACCCAGCCGAACAGCTACGGCGCGAAACCCCCAGTCGAAGCTTGGTACACCACAAGACTCTGCCGCCACCTTGCGAAGAGCCAGATCTCATGCTCGACGACATCGCACCGCATCCCTAAGTTATGGACACGACAGTGACTCCTCAACCTTCTCCCTTGCGGATCGCGACATGCAGGACCTTGACTTGTCGCTGTCCGCTGGTGCGCTGCACCCTTTAAACTCGGCCACGGGCATCTGGAAGCGAGACCCGCCATGTGCCGAAAACAGCAACAAGACCCCCTTGGAAGCCACCACGCGCACGACATCGCCGGCCTCGATGAGGTATCGGCTCGCCGGGAACGTGCAGCAGCATGACCCTCGTCCTTCTGCCAAGCGGTGTGCTAAATCCCCACCGCTGCGTGATCAGCCCCAGCCCCAGCCCCAAGGCCAGCCACTGGCCCCGCCCATCGCTCTTGACGGTGGTGCACGGTTGCCAGACCCCCATCCCAACGTCATGGACATGACCCCAGACCAGGTACTCTTGCAGGCACTGGCCTCACAAACGCGGGTAAGCCAGCCACAACAGCACCAGATCTCCACCTGGCAAGCACCATCGGCGCCCACGCAGCAACTTTTCTCTCCACAGCAACCACCACCACCACCACCACCACAACAACAACAACAACAACAGCTGCATTTACAGCTGCAACTGCATCGCCATCTCCTTCAACAACATCTGCAGCCACCCCGTCCTCTACCTGCGCAACCGCCATCTCAAGGGCTGGACCCCAGCTTCTACCCGAGCGCAACGCAAATGATTGATGGTTCACAGGGTACAATGGGATCGCCTGTGCCATCGTGGACTAGCCAACTGCCCCTCAGCTTGATGATGTCGCCCCTCCGCACGCCTACCTGGTCAACTGAACTCAATTTTTACTCCCAGATGCTTGGCTCCGAACAACACCTGCCCCTTGCTTGGCACAACCCCGACAGCCTCGCCTATCCCCAACAAACTCCGATACCCTCGACACAAACCTTTAGCCCTCTCGTCACAACCTCACACTACTCGCCTGCTTGATGCCAGACTTGCAACCTTGCCGTTGTAATCTAGCTCACCATGGGCGCTGCTTTGCCTGACCTCACTATTGTGGTTTGATTCGTCCAAGGCGCAAAGCCATCATGTGAGCACGATATGCATGTTATAGCTTCACCGTGATCCGTCTGCATGCAGAATGCTTTGGCCCTGTGTCCCATTTTCCTCTGCAATGCTGTGCACTGCGTTTGGCGCGACACACACACACACACACACACACACACACACACACACACACACAAGTGCATGCATTCGTCTTTGAATTCGCTCAAGCTTGATTTACATATGTACATCTGAGTGAGTTCGCTGCTTTTCGTCTCTTTCGTGTGACAAAAGCAGAATCTTGTCTATCTATCTCTTTTGTTTCGACATGGTCTTAATTCTCGTTAATATGCTCTCGTCAATCCCCCTCACCCTCGCTGTCTCTCGAGCCCTGTCTCTGTCTCCCCAACCTCTCACCGCGAATGCGTGGTTGGGGCATGAGAGAGAAAAGGGGAGGAACAGTACATGTAAGTGTCTGTGGGTACCTTGTTTTCAAGACCGCGAGGCCAATAGGCCAGGCGCAAATTCAACTGAAATACTCATTGTGTCAACATCAGCCACTCATTGCGATCCAGGAGATCCAGTCACGCAGTAGCAGGCGGTCAAAATTAAGGAAACATGATCAACGACAAAAAAAGCAGGCTCGGCCCGCAGCAATATAAAGAAAAGAAAAAAACGCCAGACAACTGGCTCGCAGCTCGGCGCTTGTCCTGGGAAAAGAACTCCACAGAAATGCAAAAGCTTTCATGGGCAAGGTCCGGCGCTACACGTGCCAGACGCATGGAAGAATGCGATATGCGTTGTAGCATTGGCCGCGTTTCCTTTCAACGTCCAACATGGTTCCCGGCTCTCGCCTAGCCAAAGTGTCCAAAGTGTCGTCATTGAAGACGAGGCCGGCGTGCATGTGAGTATGTCAGTGCATGTACAGCATCGGCTCAAGCAGCGCGGGGTCAAGGTTTCAAAAGGCAGACGCACCACTCGCGAACCCAAAAGATGGCCAAGCATCCAAAGATAACTGCAATGGTGGGCACGAGTGGCCAAGAAGGCATGACCAACAATGGTAATAATGAGGTATCTTGGCGACAAATGGTCGGGCGAGAAAATGTCGAAAGGCCGATAATTTGAAGTGTCAAGTCCTCCCATACCTGTGGCCATGAGCCCGACAATGGTGCTGCCCAGCACAAAATCGTAAGCCACCGAGGTGGTGTCTTGGCAGGCTGTGGATTGAAGCAGGACATGAAGCGTATAGATGGAGATAATGGCAGACACAATGCCAAAGCCATGGAAAGTCAGGCGCAGCCACGCCGGTGGGCGCCAGCGGAGAATAAAACACGCCGTAAATCCTGCGCAAGAACATTCAGAACGTCAAGGTCAGCGGGGAATGGGGTGCATCAAGTCGAGTGTCATAACAAGGGCGGGCCAATAAAAGGTGCTTGGCTGACAGTAGACGCCGCCAGGAGCGCGGGATCGGATTGGGAGCGCACCGAGGCTGACCACGCTCATCACACACAGAAGGACAGCGGCAGGGATCAAGTTTGAGGCGCAGTAGCGGTTAGATGTTTTGCTAGGGTGCCAGAATGCAAAATAACAACCACATGAGGGTTGGGGTAGGAACAAGAATTGAGGAGGGCGGTGGACCAAGGGATAGGAGGGGCTTGACAGGGACGCTGCGTACTCGTAGAGCGCCATAAACGGCCAGTAAAAAAGACCCGCCGTCACGAGCAGGAGGAGAAGACCCCTGCGCATCGCCATCAACACAGCATGAGGTCACATTGGGCGGCGGAGTTGCGTGTCTCTGTGGCAACGGTCGTCAAACAGAATCTGGGGTGCACGTACACTACAGGCTGATTGTCTCGCGGATAGAGGTGGATCATGTGATAGACCACATGAGGCCAGCAGTACTGCCACATGATGGCGGCAGAGGTGGCAGACGACGGGGCAAGAGACTGGTGCTCTGGCTTGGCTCACGCGAATCGATTCGCACAAGAACCCACCACACAGGGCCACAAGACATCCAATCTCAGCCAGCATCAACGCCTGCCCGTGAACGCTTGAGCCACCCGCCTCTCTCTCACTCGCGCGCGAGTCGGGTCAACTCCTTATTTTATTTGATTTTTTTTTTTTTTGGGAGAAGAGGGACGCGTTTCCCAAAAAAAACAAAAAGAGAGAGAGAGAGAGAGAGAGAGAGAGAGAGAGAGTTTGAGAGAGAGAGAGAGAGAGAGAGAGAGAGAGAGAGAGAGAGAGAGAGAAAGAGAGAGAGAGAGAGAGAGAGACACACACACACACACACACACACACACACACACACACACAGGTGGTGTTGTTACCAAGGACCGAGTGTCTGACATTCTGAATTTCCGCTTGAGAGGTACAACATGGCAGTTGGTGACACAAAAGATCAAGAAGTTGTAGATACCAATACATCAGCTGTCTCAGAAACCGTCGTAACTATGCCACAACTTGTCGACACCTTCAAATTCCTTTGAGAAAAACATTTGGCGGTGCTTTTTGTTGTTCCACGCCGCTCTCGACTTGACGGCGGCGCGGCGCGCGGTTGGGGACCTCACTCCAACGGCTCGTTTCGGGGCGTGCATGCTTTCGGCAGAGCCATCAGCGTTGTTTATTCTGCTGCCCAGAGCTGGCTCGGGCTGACAAGCCTGCATTGCAACATAGCGCCCACCATTGCCCCAATTTTGGTGGTGGTCGTGCATGCCAAGCATAGCAACCAAGGGCCGCCGGCCGAGCCAATCGTTGTTCATGGACAAGTACGAAAAGGTCCGCGTGCTTGGCACGGGCTCCTTTGGCAAGGTTTGTTCGCGCACGGGCCTCTGTTCCGAGCAGCGTCGTTGCTGGTCATACGTGCCCCGCGCCAATACCCCCTCAAGCGACGTTGGCCTTGACGCAACCGACTTGGCACCGCCGACTACCTCAACCAAGCACCCACGCCGTGCACCCAGCTCGACGCGCCCATGGCCGCTCCCTGGCACCTCTTGCCCTCTGCTGTGCCTCACAATGTTTTTTTTTCACCCTCTTTTAAATCCTTTGATAGGCGGTTCTTGTGCGGGATCTAGAGACACGCCAACTCCGCGTCATCAAGGTCTGACCGACCTTTTTAAGCCATGCTATGCTTTTCAGCCGCTTCCTTTGCGCCACACACCTTCCTTATCGCATGAACTTTGGGCATCCACACAGGAAATCAAGGCACAAAATCGCCAGGAGCTCGAGGAGGCCCTGGCTGAAGCTAGCCTCCATGCTACCCTGACCCATGAAAACATCATCCGGTTTGTCCCACTTTCTGCTGCGCCGCATGCTCGTCGTTCTGATGTCGACCGTTTTTTGGGGGTGGTCTTGCCTCGATTGGTCGACTCACTTGACCATGCGTCCGTCCTTCAATAGCTACCGGGAGGTCTTCAAGGCCGGTAGCCGAACTATTTTTATTGGTGCGCTGGGTGTCATGTCCGAATCTTTTGGTCCATCCCCCCCTGCCCCTCGCTATTGGCCCTCACCCATGCCTATCCGGTGTAGTTATGGACTATGCACCAAACGGTGACCTCAATGGCCGCATTGAGCGACAGAAACGGTCCCATCGCCCTTTTCCCATGGAGAAGGTTCTGGTGTGGCTCGCCCAAATCATCAAAGCCCTCCATTACCTCCACCGCCAGAACAAAATTCACCGGTACGTTTGAGCACCAAGCATGGGATGCGCCTCTTCGTCCATTAAGCGCCGCGCGCTGCTCTCATTGGTGCCCGCTACACACCTCCCTCCAATCTAACCCGCTCCCAGCGATATCAAGGCTGCCAACATCTTTCTCAACGAAAGCGATGACGTTGTACTTGGTGACTTTGGCATTGGTGCGGCCCCCCTCCTTCTCTCTTCGCCTGTCCAAGACTTGTCTGTCAGGATCATAATTAGCACGATCACTGTCATGCTCGTCGTCATCATCGTCACCATCATCATCCCTGGCCATCCTTCGAAGCACCATCGGTTCTTGCTCTCACTTTGCTCGCTCCTTGTGGGTGCCTGCCTGATTGCTTTTAGCTCGCGTCCTGGATGCCAACGCTGCAAGAATTTCGGCGCGCACGTGCAAAACACCCGTGGGCACACCCATGTACATGTCACCAGAGCAGGCCAGCGCCAAGGAATATGGCCAGGCCGTGGACATTTGGGCCCTGGGCTGCGTGCTCTATGAGATGCTCATGTTTAAACCCGCATTTATTGCTCAGTCTATGGATGGCCTCATGAGCCGCATTCGGCGCGGTCGCTTCGACCGCAGCTTTCCTCCTGAAGTTCCTGTCGAACTACAAGAACTTGTTTGCGCCATGCTCAACGTTGACCCTCGCGCCCGGCCCACCATCCGCGAACTCATCGCCAATCCCCTGATTGAGCCTTACGTCAAGGAACCAGCCCCTGCAAGCGCAAAAGCAGCCCAACCTGAGGCACCGGCAGCTCCCACGAGCCGAACCTCCACTCAAGGCTCCGTGCCATCTCTGCATGTCCACGTGGCTGACGCCAAGCCTCGCCCCGCTGCGCAGTTGGCTCCCCTTCAACAACCCCGTGGCCGTGTTCTGGGCGCTCTGCGCGTACCCAGTCAAGTCAACGTGACCGAAGACCCTCCCGGGGCAGCCGGGGCCCACCCTCCAGCGGGAACGCCGGGAAATGATGAGCACCACCGCAAGTCGCCGACGGAGAATCGCGCCAAGGCCGTACGAGATGCTAGCCGCCACCGGGCCATCAACCTTGAACACCAACAAATACGCCGCAACAGTGATTTTATTGATGGTCGGACGCCAGGCTCCTCTCCGCGCAATTCCCCGCGGATACCGCGTCGCCGTCTCTCAGAGCTGCCACCCAGCTCGCTGCAGCATGCGCCCGCTCCAGCCCCGGCCCAACGCCGCCGGTCGGAAGGTATTGTGCGTCGAGAATCTTCGCAGTGGGCCGTGCCAAACTCGGGCCTCATCAAGCCCCGTCGTGGCTCCCATGCCCGGGCCCGTCAGCCCATGGACATGCTGTCTTTGGCTCAGCTGTACAAGTGACGTCCTGAGATTTGCGTTGCTGTGAGATAGTATCCATTTGCCTGTGGGCCACATCTACGATTGTATTCATGTATATGTGCCTGTACGTTTTATGTACATGTATAAATATTATGTATGTTGTATGTTTGCCCGGCTTTCTTTGCAATGCGCCATGCCTGGCTGTCCGGCAATCTTGGCCTTTGTGGGTTGTTCCTGAGGAACAAGAAGGCACGTTCATGATCTGTCTTTTTCTATCTGTCTTGTTTGTATTGTTTGGGGCGGGGGTCGGCACGTCTTGCCATCACCATGCACGTGACTTTTCGACTTTTTTTTTTTTTTTGACCCGATGTTTTTTTAAGGCAATGCCTAGAACGGATAGTCACAGCAGGGTTCAAGACGTGGTTCGGGATTGAGTTGATTTTGTCATTTGAAGGCTATGATATATTTTTTTTATCATCAATCTTTGATTGTATCTTTTGGAAGGGGCGGGGGTTCTGCATGGCCTTGATCCTGGACCAGCTCATCCGCTGTGCAGTGATATGTCAATCATGTTATCCCATCACGAGCACAATCAAACCTTGCATTTTCGGACAAAAACTTTAAGCACGTGTTTGTGGGCTTGGACGTGATGTTATAATAAATTCAGCCGACTTTCTCCACTACGCATCTGATGACATGGCACCTGAGCGCGTCAGGCGTCATGTGAATCAAGAGCATCGCAAGTCAAATTCCGATATGCTTTCATCAGGGTGCGCAGCAATGAGGCTATGGCTCGACTCTCGCGTTCCGTATGCACGGCTTGCCCAAAAGCTGGGCCGACTGCATCCCCGGGCTGCTCCGCCTCCGCCTCGGCCCTTTTCCCCCCTTGCTCCTCCATTAGGCCGTGACTGCGCGTTTCACCATGACACACCACGTCACCCAGAGCAAATTGACCCCTGTGTGAAGGTATAATTCGTGAGTTTGAGCCGCTCGTATGGTGCAAGATGGACAAGAAGCTCAAAGCGTACGTGACTTTGCTGGGAGGTGTTGGTGGGCTGGTATCCGTGGAAGATGAAGGCAGGTCGAGAATTGCTAGCCACTGCTGTGCCAAGTCGCGTAAGACACTTGCGCAAGCGGCGTTGGTCGCCTGATCTGTAGAGCTGGGTGCTAAGGCCTTGACACGGGCCTTCAAGAGTCGAGCAAGAAGAGGGGCAGGTGAGGATGGCGAGGCCTCGAGGCCAGGTCGGTAATTAGACGTTGAGGTCGTCGGCAACAGCTGGGCACGCTGCAACGCTGCATATGCGGCTCGCTGCTCTGTTCGCAACACGCGCATGTGGCGAAGTGCGCGCAGGCGGGAGGTGAGCTGGCGCGCCTCGGCTTCATGACCATGTTGGACGAGGGCGTGCATCAGTGTTTCTTCCTCGGGGGCGCTCAGCTCGGGCTCAAGAAAAGCCAGATTCAGGGACGGTGTGACGGTGGGGTGAGCCACGCGATGTTGCATGAGGCGATTGGCTAGGAGCTGTTGCTCAAGCGCAAGAGCGCCCCAGTTGGGCGGGGCTGGCCCTTCGGCCAGACCACCAGCGGCTCGACGCACGCGCTTGGGCGACGGTGTTGAGCTGGCATGCGTGATGTCACTGGATAGCGAGGGTCGGATTTGAAATTGATCCGAAGGGTGCGAGTCGTTGAGGCGGCCTTCCCGGGCCTGCTCACACAAGCGTGCGTTGGCATCGGCCTTTTGACGCGCATAGGCGGCGCCAAACAGCGCATGCTGCAACCAAACGGTGGCCGCCATGTCATAGCAATCCATGGGCGGTACAAAAAGTCGATCGCGCAGTTTGGCATCTATGTCAGGCGAGCCTCGGATGGCACATGAGGCGAGCGGCGGCAAAACACGGCAGACGCGCTCGGGGCTGCACAAGGTCAATCAAGATCTATTCGCACCTTCTAGCAGCCAAAAGTCACAGTGCGCACAGCGAGAAGGGTGGCCCTGGCTGGGCAAACCAGTCAAACGGCCACAAACATCACAAAACCCGACATTACGTCGGCATTGCGGACAGGCCAGCGTCAGACAGCCATCCGGCAGGAGCGATTCGTGCAGACAGGGCTCGACAACCTGCCCGCACGCCACATATGGGCAATGCAGGCCTTCAGTCGAACACATGCCACCCTGTGGCCTGAAGCGTGTCTCCTCACCCCCAGCTCCTCTCACCCCCACAGCTCCTCAACCACACAGCTCCTCATCGATCACAGCTCCTCACCCTTCACAGCTCCTCTCACCGCCCCCACAGCTCCTCATCGATCAACCTCCGCGCGCCTGAAAATTCAACTGCCACTCGTTTGTCAGACGAAACGGCGCGAAGGAACAACAACAACAAAAAAAAAAAAACGAAGGCCATGAACCTTAGGGGATCAAGCGACATACAGTCGCATGTGATGCTTGAACGGCTGGTGTCCGGCTGATGTGGCCTTGTTGACCTGGCCGTGCCTCTGGGTTTTCAATACCTGAACCTCTGTAATTCTGTGTGGCTCCACCTACCCCTTTCTGATGCCGGTGCCTTTGCCTTCGAGTTTGATCGCTTTGTGTGTGTGATGTGTTGATGTGATTGTGTTCTTTTCACACACACACACACATCAATCAACTTCAACTTTTTGATGCGTAGGGAAGGTGTCAGGCACTTTGTGATGTGGATGTGCAGGGAAACTGAGATCGAGGAGGTGGGGGCGAGGCGAGGCAGGGAGGTGGGGCAGGGATGGGGCGGGGTAGGGAGATAGGTGGGCCGTGTGCCTACCGGGCATTTTTCTCAACTTGCCCGCCGAGCTCACAGCTTTACCCTAGCCACAAACAATGGAGTCGCTTGGCGAGGGGTTTGTGCGTCTTGAGACGATTGGGCGAGGTACCTTTGGAACGGTGTATCTCGTGCACTCCCAGGCCTCTCCACTGACACGGCCCTCCACCTCACGGCATGGCGTTGAAGCGCTCAAGAGCATTGATCTAGCTCCACTGGATGAGGCTCGTCGTCGCCGGGCCCTCAATGAGGCTCGCCTCCTGCAACGGCTTCGACATCCATACATTGTGCGCTATCGCACAGCCTTTCTGCACCATTCGCACCTTCGCATCGTCATGGAACACTGCCCCGAGGGTGATCTGGCCCAGGCCATCGCGGAACAACGCAACCGTGGCTATCTCTTCCGCCCTGAGCAAGTACTTGATTGGCTCACCCAGCTGCTCTTAGCGCTCGACTACCTGCACCACGAGTGTCAGATTTTGCACCGTGACTTGAAATCGCAGGTTTGAGCAACATTTCACATGCCCGCAAAGCCGTTCACGTCTTGTCGTTATCACCCGTGACTCAGCCCGTGTGCCTGACTGCTGCAAACTTTAGAATGTCTTCTTGAGCGGGCGTCGCCATCTAAAGCTGGGCGATTTTGGTGTGGCAACCTGCCTCAACTCCCCAGACGCCTTTGCAACAACCCTTGTGGGCACGTGAGTAGTACACGATACGCAGCAATGAGCCAATGCACAGGCTCCTGGTGTGAGTGTCTGAGCATTTACCTCGCCTTATTACGTGCTCTTTGGTGTGTAGACCTTACTACCTCAGCCCTGAAATAGCTGCTGGTCGGCCCTACAATCGTAAATCAGACGTCTGGGCAGCTGGCTGCATCTTTTACGAGGTTAGCCTAGATTGCATGAACAACACCAAAGCGCGATGCAGCGCGTGCACTACTGCACGCCAGTTTGTCGATGCACTCACACCTGCACGGACGGACTCAACCCACAGCTCATGACCTTGCGCCGAGCATTTGCCGCGCATTCCGTAACGGAACTGCTTTTGCGTGTCTCAGCCGCAAAGTTTGCGCCACCCTCCTTCATTTACCCACTCCCGATGCACCACCTTCTGGAGGGTATGCTTGCGTCTGAGGCAGCCGCGCGTATTGATACGCTAGAGGCTTTAACCTCAGACGTCCTACGCGGTGCACTTCGAAAATATGCACGCGCTGCTCGCCCGCTTCTCCTGGAACGAGTAGGCCTTGCCGCCCCAACCAGAACCCCATCTTCCGTCACCGGCAACAAAGACCCAAGACCTGGCCGGGCGGACCTGCGTGACCGAGCTTGCCATCATCTGGGGTTCGCACCTCCGCCCATGCAACCCACACCTTTGCTGGAAGAGGGAAACGTTGCCCCTGCTGCCGCTCACAAGCCCACAGTACGACGGGAGTCGCCCATCAACGCCACTGCTTCTCCAGTGCAAGCATGCTCCCCGATCCCTCAACAACTACTACAGCGCAGTAGCTCCAACAACGGGTGGATGATAGTTTCCCATCCCCCATTGACGGAACCAAGCTCTCCACCTTCTCAGACAACAACACGTGGTTGTTCCCCCGTTGAGCAGCTTACTGCCCAACCCAGCCCTGGCACAGCTATTGAGAGCTCTCGCGGCTCGGACGCCCAATCAGCGGTCAGTCAAGGCTCAACTTCATCCGCCGCTACTCAGCGCCAAGCGCCTGCGAATGTTGTGATTGAGTTTTTACTGCACCAACAGCGGTTGAACTTGTCCGTTGCGCCCGAGGCACGTGCGTACGAGCGACTCGAGGCTGTCCGTGCCTTGTTAGAGGAACGAGTGGGCGCCTCTCTCGCCGTCACTGCTCACACCATGATTGAAGACATGGTATACGGTGCAGCATCCAACATAACCCTCCGGCAACTGCGCCGCGTCTTGGGTCAGCAGCGAGCCTGCTATTTACCCCTACTGGTGCAGCTGGTGTATGCCGAAACAGCGCTGCGCTACCGCGGCCCGGATAGCGTGACGTTTGTGTCTTGAAATGGGACAAGGAAATGTGGGCGACGTATTTGACTACGAGGTATTTCATTGCAGCTTTTGTGCATTGTCAAGAGAACTCTGATGGCATGTGAATTGAGATGTGATTGCGATCAAATGAAGCGCTCTTCTCCGAGGCTGCCAAAGATATAAAAACAATGCCGCATGGACACATCGCGGCAGCATTCATTCCCCGGGTGCTTAGCATCGCCGCGTATCACGCCTGCAAAGTCAACAAGCGTAAGATGTCCGAGGTCAAGGGGAGCAGATAATTTGGCCCGCAGAAGCCTCACCAGCGTGGTTGTGTCACCGCCGGCGTACGACGTGCTTGCATTTGCTCATCAAAACTGGGTCAAAGGGCGCAACGCAATGCCGCGAGTCAGAAATACGTCTGTATCAACCAATGTTCAACGGCCAATGTGGCCACCGTGGCAGAAGGCGTACCGTTCACGCAACGTTGAGAGAATGGTATCAGCTCGCACCAAACTCGGCGGGGGGCGGATCAATTGCTCCACTAGAACGGCTGCCGGCTCGATGGGCTCTGCTGTGGTGCCGGGCCGAGCCTCTGGCAATGGAGGGGCTCGAGGCACGCTCAGCCGGGCAGCTGGCGCGTCGGCCTTTAGCGTCGGAAACATGTTTTATTTTTATTGTTTTTGCGGTTCAAGGCGCGTTTGTTTGTCACGCACAACGCGCTTGTGCTAGAAAACTTGCTCGCTAGAACAAGCCGCCTCTGCTATCACCCAAAGCGACTGGCCTTTTGGCTGACCAACCTGACAACCAAAAAAATGCCGAATGCCCAGCCATTCCCACCAGCAATCACTGAGCCTTTCCACACCTGTGGAATCTTGCTCACACCAGCCCAGGGTGCGCGGTGCGGCATCCATATCCCCGTCGGGGTTTCGATCCCCCGTAGCAAGCAACTCAAAAACTGCTTTTAACACCAGCTCTTTTCAATTCAATATCTCATCAATTTTCAACAATAAGTCGCATTGTAATCGTATTACGTTCTACAATAAGCTAGGATATATAGTCAATAACTTGAAAATCTCAACTTCTGCGACGTCATGTCGCTTGCACACATTCGGATTGTTGATGTTGCTCGTGTAGCAAAATAACGCGTTAAAGTAGAATGAAACAGGAGACCAAGCTTGGTTCGTGCAGAAACATGTGCACCTGATGTAGAACTTGTGTGCAATTTTGTGTTGCTTGCGTTTTTCGCCTCCGGACTGCGTGCGCGTTGTGGTGGCAGTGGCGGGTAGTGGCGGCGGTGGCGACACAGTGGCGATCGCGGCGGTGGTCGGGGTCTGAGCGGTTCTGATTTGCGCTTAAAATAAGCAAGTAGTAGTATTTAAGAAAGTCTTGTGGCCTTGGCTACCTGCAGATTGCGGACCTGCGCCGGATCTCCTCTGACAGCCCTTGCTCGCTGACGATCATGGCCGTCGCGGGCCTTCGGCAGCGCGTGCTGGCCCTCAAGATATATCTATCCGAGGGTCGGTCCAATGTGGTACTGGATCAGCTCGTGGCTTTGGCCGAAGCTTGCGCCGGGGTTCGGCTTGTCGACACGTTTCGCGACAAGCCCTATCACCGTTCGAGTCTCACCCTGTTGAGTGACTCGAGCCCTGCTCTGGCCGAAGCTGCCGGAGTGATCGGGGCCAATGCTTGCAAGCTTATTGATATGGAGTCACACGTGGCCTCCCACCCGCGTCTTGGCACCATCGATCATATTTCCTGCCATGACGTCACGGCCGTGGCGGAAGGCACTAGCCTCGTCGGCGTGGGGCACTCAGAGCAGGCGATTCAGCTCGTTCACGACGTTGGCGCGTCCATCGCGGCACAGGCAGTCCCCGTTTATCTCTATGGACCCGCTCACCCAAAACAACGACAATTGGTGGATCTGCGGCGAGCTCTTGGGTACTTTGATCGCACAACTCCACAGGGATGGTGCGGCATCCCTCCTACTCTTGCGTCCGCCCTACAGTCACTGCCTCCTGATGTCCGGGCCAGCTCTGACAGTCAGCTGAGGCACGGCGTGTGCACCGTGGGATCCGGTCCTTGGACCACCGGCTTCAACATTGCACTCTGCACATCTTGCACTGAAGACGAGCAGGAGGCCGCGCTAGCTGCTGTTCGTCGCCCAGGCTTGGTCCAGGCTATGCTACTCCCTCACGATGGTCATGTGGAGTTGGCCTGCAACCTGCTAGATGCCGATCACCATGGGCCCATAGACGTTCTGGAAACGCTCCAGGTTAGCACGCCACCCCTTCCTGGCCTCACAAGTTGCTTCTTATGATTGCTTGTTGCTGATGAGGTGTGCACCCTCTTGTCTAGAAGCATCATTTTCGATACGACTTCTCCTATGTTGTGGGGGTACAACCCTCGAAATTTGTTCAACTATTTCAAGGCCACGAGGCCGCGCCCGTGGACACATGCATTTAAGGCGCTATAAATTTGCGATCCGAGACGGCCATTGTTCGTTGGGTCCCCACGCAGCCTATGTTCGTTGTGGTCCGCCGCAATTTTATGTCGTTGTTACATGTGAAAAGAATGAATGCTCTGCCGAGGGGGCGTGCATAGCCATGGCGACCACCAAAATAAGAATAAGGAACCAAACGTCAATTATTGTAAATAATTCATGGAAGTACATCAGAGTGCAGTCTCTGACTCGCCCGGAGCCGCATCCCAAGCAATTATTCTCGCTGCAGGTGCCGATGAGGGCGTTGCGGCGGGCCCTGTTGAACTGGTGAAACCTGGGGCGGGCGGAACTTCAATATAGTCTCCTGGTTGGCCGGCCTCTGCAGCTTGTTCTTCGATCAAACCCTGTTCAAGCTGCATTTGTACATCCTTGATTGTGGGTCGCTCGCTGGCCGACCATGCCCAGCATGCGGCCGCCACTCTGCCATCCAGACCAGCACGACATTCGTGTGCATGAAACGAGGGGTCAGATGACAAGCTCGGTGTCGTGCAACTGCTGTCTTCCGGCACACGGCGTCAAGTGAACCAACCTGACGATGGTGGCTGGGCTAGTGTGCGGATCAAATGCAAGTCGGTGGCCGCGACGCAGAAAGCCCACAACGTCGCGAGGCTCACTGATGTCGGCATAGGGGCGAGCCCCGCGTTGGGCAATCTCCCACATCAAAACACCAAAAGACCACATGTCCGAGGATAGGGCATGTTTCTGCTCCACCAGCGCCTCTGGGGCTTGCCACCTATTTGACGGACCGAAAACATGCCTTCAACTGTCTTCGCGTGTGCACAGGCTCAGTCACATGGAACATGAGATGTAGCCATGATTACATACCGAAAGGGCATGGCTTTGACGACCGAAGGATTGTAGTAATTGATACTTGTCGGTAGAAATCGTGTAACTACAGCAGCACGGCGACAGTGGGCCTCTTGTGAGCTGCAATAACGTGATGGCATGCCTCTGGACATGACGTTTGAAGAACGGAACAGACTGAAACGAGTATGGCCATCCTCCATCTCTGCCTCGAAGACCAAAACGTTGCGCGCAGCCAAATCGCGATGAATGACGTTGTGCTCGTGTAGATATGCAATGGCATGGGCCACCTGTCGGAAGGTAAAGAAAAAGAGGGGCGAGGCGGGGGAAAAAAAAGGCGGGGGGGGGGGCACACGTGGCAGGGGCAAGGGTTAGCACCCAGCCTTTCATGGCATCAGACGATCGCCATTTGAACAGCGAGCTTGCTGTTCCCGACGAGACAGGCCGACCTCGAGAGCGCATTGTATCTGCCGTGACTTTTGCCAGACGGGAGAAGCCATCAAGCTGGAGCGCAAATCTGATCCCGAGGCATATTCCAGCACCAAAGCTAGCCTATGGACGAGACAACAAAGTTATCCGTGTCATAAAAGCTCAATGACGTGCACGGTGTTTGAAAGGCAGGGTCACGCACCCGCCACCCGACGCTGGATCATGAGCTAAACCAAGAAGTTTCACGATATAGGGGCAACTGCGTAGACTATGCAGCGCCAATACTTCGTGCAGAACCGCCGTCACTTCACCCTCCTGACCCAGGTCAGAAAATTATGGAAGGCACAGAAGCCAATAAGAATGAGGGCGATGGTATCTTGGAGGAACACAAAGACAGAGAGACAGAGAGGCAGAGGCAGAGAGGCAGAGACAGAGAGGCAGAGACAGAGAGGCAGAGAGATGTTGAGAGAGATTTAGAGAGAGCACACGAGCAGGGTGCGCACCTGATTGGCCGTGTTCCGCTTGTACGCCACAGTCAGTGGGCCCTTTTCCGTTTGCCAGATAGCCTAAACCACAAAACAGTAGGGTCACACCCCAAGCAAAGAAGCAAGGTTCGGGGTTGGGGCCGACAAACGACAATGCTGCACAAATTAAAAAAAGAATGGGGATACAAAGCACAACAGATAGTTTGGGAAGAGCAAGACGCCAAGCTCACCTTGTGGACCTGACCAAAAGCACCCCGGCCCAACTCCTCCATCAGCATAACGTCACTGCTTTGAAGCCAGCGCACATCTGCAAGGTCGTGCTCCTTGAGGGAGGGATTGGCGCAGACAAAGTCATCGCGGGCCATTTCGAGGGCCTGCATCAAAGCCCGATGCGGACTCGCGACTTGGGTCCGCTGGCGATAGACGACGAGGCCAAGGAGTAGAAGAAGAAAGGCAACGACGGGTATGACCACAGACAGTACGGTCACAAATGAGGACGAGCCACTGGTTGATGGTATGGGCGTGAGGATTCCCGTGTTCGGGTTGGAGCCGGAATCAACGGGTTTGATCAGGGATTCAAGATCGCAAGCACCCATCAAGGTGGGCCCATCGAGAATGTCCGTTTGCTCAAAAAAGTCCCCAATGTTCTCCAGAACGTAAACCATGACAGCCCCCATCTGATCAACAGTCAGCAAGCGGCCTTCCCTGATCAAGACCTGGTAAGGACACCACCAGTCGTGCGCAAACAAGGCGGCCGTTAGCGCGGTGAGGAACACGCAAGTGGGTACATATATAGCATTGCTCTGATGGCATCAGAGCATGCGTCGGGCAACTGCAGCGCGGCAGCCTACTTGCTCGACAGGGAAGAGGGTAGGGTGAAGCAAGCCTAGAAAGTCGAAGTTGGCGTCAAAGATGAGCACATACTGCTGTTGGAAGGTGCCACTAAGGTTGAGATTGCTCTCGGACCCCTGTTGAAAAAGAGGGACGAGGGCCGTGATCTCCCCATTGGAGGCTAAGGCTTGGGCTCCCAGCAAAGGCTTTTCGCGCTTTGTTTCGAGGTCCAGAGCGAGTGCACAGGCCGTTTGACCGCTGGCAAAGCCCCATCGCACAACCGTGCCAGCAGACGTAGCAAGGAGGGCGTAGGACTTGACTAAGAGAAGAATATTCACCGAAGAAGCAAGGGTCGGATTGAAATTTATGCGCGATGGCGAGTTGGTAGAAGAGCTTGCGGACAAGGTCACACTCCAGCAGCTAGCGGTATTGTCGGCGCAAACCAGGAGACGATACTGGTCGACGGAGACTGCGCACGTGCCATTCCATTGGTTGGGAAGAAACGGCAAATCTTGCACCACCTGGATCTGCCCCTCAATCAGTTCAAGAAGCTGCTGATTCAAAATCCAGTACTGGTTGAGAATACTCGAACAGAGCACCTCCTGGCCATTCCAGACTTGCAATGTTTCGGGCTGAGCAAGCACCACATCAACCATCTCCTCATCATCATCATCCACAACCGTGTTTGTCGCTATAGTGGCCGTGTAGAACAGCATTGGCTGGCCCGCTGACACAGCAAGCACATGAACATTGAGCGAGCTGGCAAAAATGACCTATGTGGGCCGCACACGTGCATTGTAAGAACACATGACGCGCACGCGTTGCCATCGGACGTTTCCGGTGGCTTCATGTCGGGACAAGCGGCTTGACACAAATGTACTCTTACAGTAGTTTCATAGCTTGGTAGCTGAATGTTGGTCACCAGACGCCGACCGAGGCGAGTGAAGCAATTGAGTTTGTAAGATGCGTCGGTCAAGCAGATGAGTGAGAAAGTGCCCATGTAAGCGAATTGGATGGTGAGAGGCAGAGACGTTGCCTCTATAATCTCGGTCAAGCCCTGTGCGTCGGGATCAAAGCGAAGGAGTCTGATCGGAAAGTCGGCTTCGTCATTGATAGCGCCAGGTCCCACGAGTACCAGGGGACCTTGTGAGCTCGAGTGAATCATGCACAGGTTGCGACCCGAGGGAAAGTCGTGCGAGGCCAGCAAAGCAAAGGCACCGTTTGCAGGGTTCATGGAAAAGAAGCGGTTTTCAAAATTAATGGCGTAGTACTGATGAGTGCCAGGCAGTGAGGACGGGATGAAAGCCTCCACCCGTGAGCTTGAGGCTGGTGTCCTCCAAATTAGATGGTCGAGGTTAAAAACGATGGGGCCAGAGTTGTTGAACGTGATACGCCAGCGTGATGCGTAGGAACGTTTGAGTATTTGTGGGACTGGATCCGAGGTTTTAGGGCCGTGGTGGCCAACCATCACATCGATGGTGGCAGAGCCATTGACAACGGGTGTCGTATTTAAAATTGTCAAGGCCATGGGTGCAAGACCAAAAGGCAGCAGCTGCACCTGAGCCACAATGGACAAGTCTGAGGCCTTGAGCCAAAACAACTTTGGTCAGGGAGAAGGATAGAAGGGGAGCGGGGGGAGGGGCATCACAGAGCAAAAGGGCGTGAGCAGAGATTTCAAGCAGCGCAACGTGCAAATAGCCGGGCTCGTGGACGTACGCCACCCCATAACGTTGTAATGAAGAGGTCGGTACCCTGATTGTGCAACACCATTTGACACGCTTGAAGTTGAACTAGGTTGCTGTCCGATTCCGAGTCAAAAACCTGGACGCCCAGCTCCCGTGCCGCTTGGAACAGACCGGTAGTTGTCAAATCAATATGTATGGATCCTTCTTGCGGGAAGATGTGGACCAGCGTGGATTTGCCAACCCAGCCCGAGAAAGTGCCAAAATACACATATTTGCCTGCGCGGCATCCCGCGCGCGTGAATATGGCAACGTGTATGTGGTCCAAGATGACAAAGGGCAACAAGCAAGCGAAGTGGAAGGCAGGAGGTGGACCCAAACGAAAACAAAAGCAGGTGGGCGACAGAAAGTTAGGCCGAGACAGGGCATGAAAAAGAGCGAGGAACAACGAGGAAGTGATAATGATCGAATCAAGCCCACAAGTCAGGTGCACACCTTCAGATGAGAGGGTGCCAATGACAGCGGCAGTGCCTGTTGGTATCGTAGCGTTGGTATAGCCTAGAAAGGTTCCATCGTTAATAGCCCACGTTGGCAATGTGCCTGAAAACATGAAGCAGATCATCCTGATGAACAGAGGTGTGCGAGGAGGAAAAAAAAAAAAAAACATGATAAGAGAGTCAATCATGGCGATTGGCCAAGGGCTCACCAAGCGCTTGGACCTCCGCTGAAAGAACGAGTTGAGGGTCAAAGAGGATGGCATAGTTTGCTGCTACTGCAATTTCCAGATTATGCCGCGGAATCGAGAGAGAGAAAGTGTAGCCTGTATGATTTGGACGCAAGATGCGCGCAAATTGTTTCCGTCTAAAGTCATACACGCCAAGTGCACCACCTATCCATCGTTCAGTCATGATTTGACATGTGAGCACACCGATTAGCCGAGATGAGCCAGGCATCTTGGGAAACTCAAGAGTATGAGTGTGTGCGTGCGTCTGTATGCGTGGGGTGAAGTTTTGTGGCCAGAAGCGCCGCGGTCTGCCAAGCCTACCACCAATGCCGGCAAGCATCCTGTCAGGCTCATTCGGCACCATGGCAATGGATCCGCTCAGTGGCGCCACCAGGCCTCGATCACAGCTGGCACCGAACCAAAAAGACCCATAACAACAGCGAGGACAGGTACGGGTGTTATTAAAGTCCTCGCAGCCTTGATTTTTCGTGCCAGCCTCATAGCAGCCCTGGGCCCAAGGGATGCATGCCAGGGCAACAAGCACGGCCAGCGCCCCAGCAGCAGGGGCGGACACCATGGCGACTGGTCTCCAACACCTGCCTAGCTACTTTGCCGACCCTCGCACGAGCTTGTGCACGCGACACGTATCCTCATCTGCTCTCGCGCTGCAACGTGGCTTTCGTCGCAGTTGCAAGTTAATCAACGACGCGGCCAGGAAGCTCAAAAACACGGCGGCCAAGCCCATCAAGGGCTGGGAAATGGAGTCAAGGGAGAGGGGGAGGAAGAGGCCGGCGGAGGCGCTGCTCGGGGAGGTCACGGCGCTCTGCCCCCGTTTGTAACCAGAATAAGAAAACAGTGACCATAACATAAAACACAGGAAGCAGACGTAGGCAGTGATAATAACCTTTTCATTTCAAGGATTTATTTGGCGAAAGCAGTGAGAGGGCTGCTTTTAAAGTCAGAACGTTGCCAAGCACGAACCGTCGCGCGCGAACGAACGAACGCCGACGGCGCAACTCGACAGACGACGGGCGGCGGGCAGTCCAACGTCGCTGTTGGGCCCTTAACCTGGCCTGGGAGGGCCTGCTTGGTGAACAAGGCTTGCTATTGTAGCAGTGGTTCTCGTCAAAATCAGTGCTGCGAGGGTCTCCGTGCTGCGAGCTTCGCGCCATGAGCGTTTGGGCGTTCAACAGCGTGCTCAGTTGAGCTGGAAGTGTCTCGACACTCGCGCGCATTGTGCGCAGCTTTTCCTGGCAGCGGCGGTTGCTCCGTCCCAAGGGGTGTCCACCTATCGATTGTGTTCTGTCCATCATGTCTGAGCTCGAGACGGGTGGTGAGGGCCTTGAGCTGGTCCGCAAGTTGGGCTCTGGCAGCTTTGGCGCTGCCTATCTGGTTCGCGACACCCATGATGATGATGAGGTAGGCTTTGGTTCTTGTCCACCTCGGTAGCTTTACTTTTGCGACACCAGTTGACAGTCACAAGTGGGGCAGTGATATTTACGGTGGCTCGCAGCCCCACAATGCGCCCCTCTGTGGTCCGACGCTGGCGCCTCGACTTGTCCTTGCTTCTCGCCTGCCTTGCCCACCATGTCGTCTCTCACTGCTGTCATCTCATGGCTGATTGTGGCCGGCCCCTTGCTTGTTCGTCGTGGCTCTTATCTCGGCTTCTTTAGCTCAAAGTCGTTAAAAAGGTGTTCATTGGCTCACTTGAGGCGGGGGAGACGGTCGATGCGTTGCGCGAAGCAAAGATTTTGAGCCAGGCATGTCACCACCCGACTTGTTAATCAACGACATTTTCAATGTAATATCTGTCCGGCAGCCGCCTCATTGCGCGAGCCGTCTTTGCTTTTAGATGCGTCATCCCAATATCCTTCAGTACTTTGATCGATTCGTTGAGGGCGACATGCTCTGCCTCCTGACCGAGTATTGTGACGGCGGCGACCTGAGCCAGCGGCTGGCTCTGCTGAAGCAGGAGCAGCGTGTGCTCACCGAATCAGAGGTGTGCCTCGATTTTTCACGTCTCAGTCCTTCTCATATGAGGCCTTCATTGCTCTGAAACTGACAAATTTGCGCTGCGCGCGCGCGCATGTGCGTGCTTGATATGTCCTCCTCTCCAAGGTCTTGGATTGGTTTCTGCAGCTGGTGATGGCTGTGAAATACCTGCATGATCGTCAAATCTTGCATCGTGACCTCAAATCCCAGGTTTGACCTCTGATCCAAGCGCCCCTCGTGATCAAAGCTGGCTCAAATATGCTGTGCTCCTCTTGAGGCTACCTCCTTTGAACTTACTTTTTGTCGCTCAACAAGGAGATTTGCGCGCTCTCACCGCGAGGTTGTGCGTTGATCGATATGCTTGATAGAACGTCTTTCTGAAAAGCTCGGGCATCCTCAAATTAGGTTGGCTGCACATAACCTGACCCCTTGCATGACCATCTGGCTTGAACTGACCAATCCAACGGCTCGCTGGTACCCTTCCTGCCTGCGTCCTCCCAACAGGTGATTTTGGCATTGCTCGAGTCCTCGTTGGTGGCTCGCAGGAAAAGGCCACCACGTTTGCTGGAACACCCTTCAACATGTCTCCCGAAGCGCTGCAAGGCATCGGTTACAACTTCAAATCAGATATGTGGAGTGTCGGCTGTCTGCTCTACGAGATGGCCACGCTTGAGCCCGCCTTCTCGGGCACGGGCCTTCTCGCCCTCCTTTACCAAATCTGCGAAAATGAGACGCCGAGCCTCCCAGATCGCTATTCGGCCAGCTTACAAAACATACAAACAAGCCTCTGGTCTCGTGACCCGGAAAAACGCCCATCAGCGGCCCAAGTTCTCCGCGACCCCTTGCTCCGGGAACACAGCGCTGTCATGCAATGCGAGCTCGACGGACAGGGTTCGCAGTTACAGCGTGATCGTCGTGCCATCCAAGCGCTAGGTCACCAGACGCACTCCCGGCGAAGGCACCGCACACCGAGCGCGCATAACCAACGTCGAGCCTCAGCCAACGACACTGTCCCGGCTGGTGTCCAAGTTCAGGATGTCCGGGTCGAAGGGACGCAAAACAGATGGGGCACGGGCGACGACACGCTGACCAGCTCCGCCATGGATAGTACGGCACGCTCCGACGGTGACGACATGGCCCTTGCCATGCAGGCTTGGCTGCAGACCACGGTCAAAGGCAGTGTGCATGCAGCGCCCCCGCAAGCCGATGCAGTCAAAAACCACGCCGCCTCTGGCAGCCTGACACCGCGGCCCGCCGCTGACCGCTTAGAATCTAGCCAGGTACCGTCATCTTGGGCTCCGTGCTTGGTGTTTTCTTTTCTTTTTCTCGTGCCACCGCTCATGACTTGCGCGGACATCCGGGCTTCTTTACCACCGCTGGCAAGCAGCTCGACGAAGCAGTGGCGTTGACTCCCAAGCAACGAATGTTGCTGCGAAAACAAGAACAAAGCGACCGTCGTGCCCGCGAAATGTCAGCGGTGCGTTCAAGTAGACCCGGCAATCTGTGTCTGGCTCCCAAATCTTGGCTGAAGTCTAGACCCGAAGTTCACGCATCACATCATCGCCGCCACCTCTGTTGCTGTCTGCCCTTACACAATAAATGGCTCTTCTTCGCATGCAGGCGGCCCGCACCATGCGAGATGCAAATCACAAGATTTACGAGAAACAACGCGCCTCCATGCACAAGTCGAGTGTCGATGTTTTTCTTCGATCCCGCGACCAACGTGCTGCATGCCCGGCGTCGGCTGCGGAGGTGAGTTTCGAGGGTAGCTTGCAAGGTTCTTGCGCTCAATAAATAAACTGGGCTTCAGTCAGGGCATTGCAAGCTATGCCATGTCTAATTGTACGCTTGTTTGCTCGTCTGCTTGGGGCTGATAATCAACGTTCAATCCACCAGGAGCGACCTTCCTCGCCGTATATGCCCTCCATATGCAGCCCCGAAGCTGAGACGCGCCATCGTAAGCTATCCAGCTCCCTGCGCTCAAATGACGGCTTGCCAACGTCACGCGACGAGGGCAGCAAATCATCATCGAGTGACATACGGGGCTCGACCCATCGCCCGTTGAGTGGAGACCTCCTCTCTCTCCATCAAGGCATGGCTGAGCTGATGTCAACCCCCACGGAGCGACAGGCTGCGCAGCGGCGCGGAAGCGGTCGGGCGGCACCGCTAGGCAGTGGTCGCAGTCCCGTTCGCGATCAACTGTCTGCGCACCGTCGACCCCCGAGTGGGGCACATGCGTCGCACATTCCAGTGCCCCAGGTCAACCTTGGTCTTTCCCTCCCGCCAGGTGTTGGTACCAAACAAAGGGGGAGCACCTTGCTGAGCGAGGATTCGGTGGACGATGAGGCAAGCACTTGCAACGACACTCTGCGACATCAGCGGTCAAAGTCGGAGGATTCCCGCGTGCTTGACCTCTTGCAAAACGATGACAGCGTCCGCATCACGCTACGCAGCATGGCGGGGCAGTCGCGTCGTGCGCGGCCATCCGCTCAAGGCTTTGATGCAATCAATGCGCCTAGTCCAAACCCGTCACTTTCAAGCACGGGTTCGCGCTCGCGCGGTGATTCAGCCACCAGTGTTCGTGAACGTGAGCGTGCCGGCAGCCTGTCGTGGATGCGGCAGGAACAAAGCTACCTCAACGATAGTTTTGAGTCCTACGAAGAAAGCGATGGTGAGGAATCTGGCCGAGGCACCATGCAAGACACCATTGAACTGCGAAACCTTCGAGCAGAACTTGATGCCCTGAGTCGGAGCCCAGAGACAGACACCGGGCCCAGGGGGGTATGTTTCTTGTGCATGCTTGCTCGCCCTACAGGTGTACGTGCTGGCCTGCTTCACTCAAAGCTTGGATACCATGGTTTTGACGTTGACATAGCTGATGGCTGAAGCATCCATTCGTTCAATGCCTGTCCCAACCCCGGTTCCAGCCCCGGCCCCGGCTCAGGCTCTATCACGTGACGGGCGCCGAGACGCCGTCCGTCACCTCCTGGGTGACAAGTTTGAGCCACTGTACCGATTCCTGCATACCGCTCGTAAAAACAAGGTTTGTTGACGTGCCACGACCCTCTCTGGGCCACTCTGTCATAACTCATCTCGGTGTGTGGTCTTGCATGTGCTTAACAGATGGGTGAGCTTGAAGTTCAAGCGCGTATGAGGCAGGCTTGCAGCGATGAAGATGCACTCTTTGCGTTGGATCAACTCGTTTTTACAGACCTATACATGTCAGCATGAGGCTGAGAGCAGGAGCAGCCTAATGAGCCTGTTTTGTTGTTGGTGGTGGTAATGGTAGTGATCATGGCGTGTGAGTCGGGGTCTGTGCGTCTGTGCTTCTGTGTCCCCTGCCTCACACCTGGTTTTTCAAGTTTCTTAATTTTTCCTCGAGAGCTTGGTTCAGCCTTGGCAAGAACGTGTGCAGCTCATGAGTCACACGATGGCCCGGGTTTGGTCGCAAGTAATAGTGAGGGAGATGATGCTGGCATGCTCACTTTGGATGCAATTGATCCAGAAAGGAGTACTGATATAATTGTTATAACATGATTATGAATGATACTGGACGATGTGCATGTGGACAAGAAACACGTAAAATTGGGTGCACGTCGACGTTAGTCTCGAGGAACGCGCAGCGTTGCCGAAGGACCTATTCATCAGCACCAGTATGGGACTCTAGAGCTTGCATAAAATGTAAAAGCTGTTCAGCCGAAGATGATAATTCTGAATCACGCGCGGCAGGCGGAATTAGGCTTGCCTGTCGGTTCAATGCCGCAAGATGAGAATAAGGGCGCACGGTTTCATGAGCGTATTCCAATGCAGCAGCCAGCAAACATACCAAGTGGCAAGAGAACAGTCGATATGTATAATCAAGCCATGCTTGCGGGGCTGCATCCAACTCAATGGGGGTGTGCACCATGCCTGCGGTGTGCCAGCCCGGCTCGAGACTCCCAGACTGAGTACGTAGATCTCGGGCAATGGCGCCAAGCACGGCCTGAAGCGATCTCTTGTGCACATGATGGGCTGCTGGAAGACTTGGCCAGATATCGTGATCGCAGGGCTGCAGACGCAAGCGCGCGCTCGGCGCAGCCACAAGCGCTCGCGTGCTACTGGTACTTTTAAGTGCGGGACGCTTGGGTGGCGGCGGTCCATGTAGCAGGTCCAGGGTTTGTGCCGTTAACGACAGCGTCATGGCGCTGTGGGGTGAGCAATTTTGGAACCGCTCTTTAGAAACTAGAATGTCTGAATCAGGATGAGAGAGCGTGTGGCCATTGGTATGAACCAGAGGTTCCCCAGGTAGTGCGTCTTGGCACTCAAATTGACTTTTCGGACCTTGCTGATCTGGCACAAGCTCTGGTGCGCTTGTTGGCAAGGAAGGTTTCATGGTAGGACCGTGCCGAGGGGCGGTGACGACAGCAGCTCGAACAATTTCTTGTTTGAGGTTGGCGGGGGTGGTTGGCGCCAGAATTGGCGCCGATTCGTCCGAGTCGCTATCACTAATAATCTCACAATCATCCATCGCCATGTCGTTGCGTGTAGCCACGGCATGGGTTGGCTCAGCTCGGCTGGCAACTGGGCGCGCCGCAATGAGCGGCTTGGGCTGGCAGCACTGTGCTAGCTCGGCGTCATCTTCATCCAGATAGCTGTGGCCACTGACGCAGTTGCTGACATTGTCAGGGAGATGACCAACCTCCTCGTCACTCGAGCCGAGGCTACCCTGATCACCATCACCATCGCTGTCACCAGCAATGGGCGCAGGTATGCGTGGGGAGGCGGGCCTTTTGCAGCCTTTACGTGACCGATGTACATTGAGAGCACGCAAGGAAGAGAAGCTGGAGCCGCATGTACATTTGACGTCAGTCGTTTGCGACACCGTTGCTCGGTGGTGTGGCTGTCGGCGCACCACCGGACACGAGACTTGGTGCTGGAGAAAGTTTGTGACCTGAGCATAAGCGCGCCCGCATGGGCACACGTGGGTCGTGTCTGCCGCCATTTGAGCAACCGGTTGAGCGGCTGAGGCCGCGCTCTGGGCTGCAGGCATGGCCGAACTGGAAGGGGAAGAAGGCAGCGTATGCCAAACATGTGTGGGACTTGCAACATTCGCTTCGTTGCCACTTGCGTCAGAAGATGATAAAAGGCCATCATCATCATGTTCGTTGTCATGTTCGTTGTCATGTTCGTCCTCATCCTCATCCTCATCCTCATCCTCATCCTCATCCTCACCATCGCTGTCGCCAGGGCCTGGGTCATCATGGTCAACGGGTGCGCGGGCGGTCGCTTCGCCCGCAGTCGTAGTAAACATGTTCAGCTGGCTTGCAACTTTGTCGCGCTTGCTTTCATCAAAATGAGGTTGGCGAGCAGGGCAAGCTCGCTGGTGCCCAGACAGGGCACGCGTGCTACGAAACAGACGATTACACGCGCACCGAACAAGTCCTGTGCCAGCCCCCGTAGCCACGGGAACAGGATGCCGTTGACTGGCTGACTTGCTCTTCACCAATGACACGTGAGCTTGAACATGCGCTACCTTGCCGGACGAGCCCTTGTCGATCGGGGTATTCGCGTGTTGCTCGGACCGGGGTGCAACCCTGTTCGTTTGGGCCGGAGAGATGCCCACGTTTCCGACATTGCACGCACAAGAGCGCCGGTGAGCACCAAGTGCCCGCGCGTTGCGGAAAGGACGACCGCATTCACAGCGGAGGAGGTCATTTCGCTTCAGCACAGCGGGGCAGAGCTCCTTGTGACTTTTTAGGTCTCGAGAGAACCGAAAGCTCTGGCCACACGGACAAGCCAAGAGCTCGGGGTGGCGATGGCGCAAGTGCATCGTCAGGCCGCGGCTGCTGTGGCATTCAAAGCTTTTGTCAGAACAATAAGGGCAAACAAAAGTGGTCGAATCAGACTGTGAGGAGGGCCTGGATGGCGACATCGTCTGAAACAAGCTTGGCGGGGATGCCAGAGTGGGCGGATCAGGCCCAGCTGGCCCGTGGGAGGACGAGGGGGAAATTTGCACAGCAGATGATTCCAAATCTGCGGAGGGCGAAGGTTGAGTCGGGGATGGTCCTGCTGTGTCACGACGCGAGCCCGCGTCTGAGCCGATGTCCGACTCTTGGTCAAGAACGATTGGCGGCGACGCCGGTGTCTCCGGAAAAAGCACTGATGTAGATAGAGGCAGGTCACTCATGTCAAAGGCAGGCGCGGAGCGGCGACGCTGACCACGACACAGGTGGCAAAGGAAATCTGTGGCTAACAGGGCGGAAGGATCGGACTTTTCAACACATGCACGATGAAGGTTGGTGCCACAAAGACTGCAGGTGATGAGGCCTTCGGCCGACCAGGCGCCCATGGCATTGCATAGGCAATTGACAGACCGAGTATCGAGCCTGGGGGCAGAGCTGCTCGGGATTGAGCATGGAGATTTTGAAGAGACGGGGACAGCGAGACAGAGAGACAGAGAGATGAGTGTGGCATCGAGACAAGGCAGTGCAGCGCAAGGGTGCTTGGGTTTGCTTGCGTACCGGCGAGGCTCAGGCGGACGAAGCTTTGCGCAAATGCTATCGTGGGTCGGCACGATCTGAGCGCGGGTAAGGATGCAGAGCATGGGAACGGCGCCTTCGTAAGAGGCGGAGCTGTGCTTTTGGGTACCCAAGGCATGTGCGAGTTCTTGGGCGCGCCGGCTTTGCCGGAGGTTTTGTTGCTTCCAAAAGGCGAGGGCGGTTTTATCCGCGTCAGATTGGGTAACGAGGGCGACAACACCGCCCTCGGGCGTGATGTCCACAGCGGCGACGGAGATGGCTTGGATGAGGGTAGTGGCAAGGCCATGTCGACGGTAGGCTGGGTCATCTCGCACCGCAATGGCTAGAACGTTGGCCACAGTTGCCCCAGTGCCGTAGCGGGCCAGGATGAAGAGGGCGCCGGCAACCACCTCGGCATCCTTGAGTGCAAGCAGGGTCAAGGTCTGGCGGAAAGTGAAGACGAGGTGGTGAAGATGGCCTCCAGCCTTGAGGCCTGGTAACTCTTTAGCACAGAGACCTTTGAAGGCGGCCAGGGCAGGGGTTTGCTCAGCCGACGTTGTTGAGCCGCGCCAGAGCTGAAAGTGGTACGGTCCTCGTGTCTGGGGCAAGACGGCGCGGATTTGCATCAAGTCGGCTTCCTGCAGCAAATCCGGCTCTGTCGTACAGCATTGATGAATGAGGCGATCCCATTGGCCCCGTGCGATGGTGGGTTTGCCAGCATGCTCCTTTAGGCTGGCGCTTCGCCGATTTCGACGTCCCGCCATGCTCGTGGGGGGCGGATCGCTCACACACGATCTGCACGGGCGTTGGCGCTGGCTCAAGACCTGGGCATAAGAGAGCTGAGCGGCATGCTGCGCGCAATGCCCGCAATCAAGGCAGAGTACCCTAGAGCAAAATTTCACTCACAGGCCTCCCGCCCTCATACCCCCCGCGATCCTTCAAGCCCCAGACGCCAAGTGCACAGCAAATGCAGCAGACAACCAACGCAGCACGGCATGCACACTGTAGCACCAAGGCACCACGGCACCAAGGCACCAAGGCACCAAGGCAGTCAACCACAGAGCGACACAGAGAGAGAGAGAGAGAGAGAGAGAGAGAGAGAGAGAGAGAGAGAGAGAGAGAGAGAGAGAGAGGCACAGAGGCACAGAGGCGCAGAGACACACAGAGAGACACACACCAAACGGAAATGGCGGTCGAGGAGAGATGAGAAAAGCAGAGCACGAATATAGCTAGTGGTACTACGCGTACTCTATGCTGCTGTCCATTGGTTTCTACAACTACTTGGTTTTACGCAGCAATAAGTCAACAGAGACAAGAAGTATGCTAACATCAACACCGATCAACATGTCAGATAATTCGTAGAATAAAATATACCCCTCCATTTTAAGCATTGTTACGACCTTGAAACGTCAGCAATTACAGTTGGTAGTCTATGCTCATGCCCTTGATGGGCTGTAATTTTTGTATAGGTTTTGACGTGGTTTTCTGCATTGATAGTGATAGAGATATTTCAACCAACTTTGTCAGTCAGCAGCTCTCTGTCCCTCCCCGCAAGCGTCTCCATCTCTGATTTCAGTTACTTTTTGTTCTTCTCCCTCCACCCGGTACCGCGCTCCCTCTGATCTTGCATCCCAACTCTCCTCCGTCTCTGCGCGCCCTCCGCTCTCTCCTCTCGCTCTCGCTCCTCCGCTGCCGGTCGGTCGGTCGGTCGGTCGGTCGCTGGAAAGGGCAGCGCAGCTTTTGAACACTGGGCGCCTGCACACCCGTTGTGGGTCTGGCCTGCGTTTGTGTTTTTTCTTGGTTTTTATCGCCCTTGCCCGTCTGTGGTCGAGTCAGCGGTGCAGAGCGCCGGTTCGTCGTCAGTGCTCGCTGCTTGGCAGTCGGCGCAACTGAATCTGGCCTCCTCTCTCCGAGACGCGGCTGCCCTCTCTCGAGCTGGTTTTATGTGTGCGCGCGTGTACTCATAATCATACTAAAACAAGTTCCTACGCCAGGTCTCCTGCCGTCTCTCATTGCTGCGCCGCCGCCCACGTAGGGACCTGTGACCATGTCGATGCTCCTGCGTTACGCGGCGGGTGCCACCAAGCCCTCTGTGGCGGTGCGCGCCTGCACTGGTGCCGTTCGCCACTATGGTGGCCTCGCGGACGACGACCGTGTTTTCCAGAACCTGTACGGTCGCCACGACTGGGGCCTCAAGGGTGCTCTCAAGCGCGTACGTCCTGTCCTGGATCGTGCTGGTCCCTCAGGGGGTGTGGTTTTTGTTGTCAGGGGCTGGTTGGGTTGACCTCACGTTTCCCCGTTGCTCTGCTTTTTCTGCCGAGCAGGGTACCTGGTACAAGACAAAGAACATTGTTGAAGCTGGCTCCGACTTTATTCTGGACGAGGTCAAGAAGTCAGGTCTCCGTGGTCGTGGCGGTGCTGGTTTCCCCTCAGGCCTCAAGTGGTCTTTCATGAACAAGCCCAGCGACGGCAGGTCGGTCCCTCTTTTGCGCATGTTGTACCCATGGTGAATACCCGACCCGCGAGTCTGACTCTCTCCCCCTTTTTTTTTCTGCCATGGACTGGCGGGTCTACAGGCCAAAGTATCTCGTTGTCAATGCAGATGAGGGCGAGCCCGGTACCTGCAAGGATCGTGAGATTATGCGTCACGACCCCCACACGCTGCTGGAGGGCTGCCTGGTGGCCGGTCGTGCCATGGGCGCCCAAGCCGCCTACATTTACATTCGTGGCGAGTTTTTCCAGGAGGCATCCAACCTTCAGGTTGCCATCAATGAAGCTTATGACAAGGGTCTCATTGGCAAGAACGCTTGCGGTTCAGGCTATGACTTTGACATCTTCCTTTTCCGCGGCGCCGGTGCTTACATTTGCGGCGAGGAGACGGCCTTGATCGAGTCGATCGAGGGCAAGACGGGCAAGCCCCGCCTCAAACCTCCATTCCCGGCTGATGTCGGTCTCTTTGGTTGCCCCACCACTGTCGCCAACGTCGAGACTGTGGCCGTGGCCCCCACCATCTGCCGTCGCGGTGGCGATTGGTTCGCCAGCTTTGGTCGTGAGCGCAACAGCGGTACCAAGCTCTTTGCCATCTCGGGTAATGTCAACAAGCCCTGCGTCGTCGAGGAGGAGATGTCCATCTCCCTGCGCGAGCTTTTGGAGAAGCACTGCGGCGGTGTGACTGGTGGTTGGGACAACCTGCTGGGTGTCATTCCCGGTGGCTCTTCCGTCCCCGTCCTGCCCAAGCACATTTGCGATGATGTCATGATGGATTTCGATGCCCTTGTCGCTGAGAAGTCGGGTCTCGGTACTGCCGCTGTCATTGTCATGGACAAGAGCCAGGACATTATCGACTGCATTGCTCGTCTTTCGGATTTCTACGTGCACGAGTCGTGTGGCCAGGTGCGTTTGCGTTTTGAAACCCAAGACTTGATTCAACTATGAACTTGCTCTGTTTGGTTGAGCTTTAAACTCCATGCCGGGTGTACCGCGCCCACTCACGTCCTTGTTATTGCTTTCTCTTTTGTGGCTTGTTCCTTTTTTTTTTTTTTTTTTTTTTTTTTTTTTGTTTTCCTCTCCCCATCTTCTAGTGCACACCTTGCCGTGAGGGCACAACTTGGTTGTCCAAGGTGATGCGCCGCTTTGTGAGTGGCGACGCCGATAAGGAGGAGATTGACATGCTGTACGAGCTGACGCGCCAGATTGAGGGTCACACCATCTGTGCCCTTGGCGATGCCGCCGCCTGGCCCGTGCAAGGCCTGATTCGCCACTTCCGCCCAGAGATTGAGGCCCGCATTGACGCCTACAACCAGAACAAGGCAGCCGCCATTCTGGATGCAGCCACCAACTAGAGCGGCACCTACCTCTTTCTGGCATTGAGCCTTGAACGTTGGCATGCCCATGCTGCGCTCACGAACGGGCAATGTCGCCCTCGTCAAAACAGCAGCTGGGTCAAGGCGAGCTCTATAACGTGTTTCCTTTTTTTCTTTGCGGGCCCGTGCCTTTGCTCGACCTTGCATCTTATGGACGCTCCTCTTTCCTCGGCTCTGTGCACATCACACCTTACTTTTTCTAATGTGGCCGCTTGACCCTGTACTTGATCCTTTGTTCCTTTCCTCCTTTTTGTTTGCTTGCATCGTTGCCACTGCGTGCCTCGATACCTTCCCGAGCTTTTGTCCCAGCTGCGGCAGAGTGTAATGATGTTGTGTTTGCCTCTGCTCATTTTGTGTATGGTGTTATCTCGTGTGGGTGGGCACCTGCCCCAATGCTCTCCTTGGGTTGGATGAAGGGGAGCAGTCGCCTTAGCTACTTGTTCTTGTTCCTTCTTGGTCTCTCCCCCCACGCTGGTGCGTTGGACAGAGCAGTGCCTTTTACACATGAAGTGATCGACAACAATTTACCAACAATTCCGACGCCTTCCTTTCCGATAGCTGCCCGCGCCCTCAACGCTGGCACACACCGCACAACGAACACAAAGGTTGTCAGAAACGCCATCAACATCATCTTCACACATCTGTTGTTACCTTTCTTCTTCTTCTTTGATAACACCACCAAGTCTTTCAATTTCTCTCTGAGCGCCGCTCAAACCGTTCTGCGCCCAAACACCATCGCGCAGCGGTCTAGGAGGTGGACTGGTGTGGCTGGCAGGGCCGGGGATCAGGATGCTGGAATTTTAGATCCGTGACAGCGTTTCGGCATCCTTGACTTGTTGTCTTTGACATGTGAGTACACACAATGCCGCCCCCGCCCGCACGGCTGACGCTCTCGCGCAAGAATAAGGCGCGCAAAGAGCATGGGCGACCCGCACACTCGTCCGGCCTTCAACCCATTCGCGCCAGCCAAGAACCTGAGCATATTCCCAAGCGCGCCAAGCATGCTACTCGAGAGCCTGCTGCGGCTCTGTCGCAGGTCGCAGCCACGACACATGTTCGAGATGCCTCTCCACCCCCAACGCGCTTCTGGACCGGTTCGCCTCGATCCCCTCGGTCCCCGCGGGCTTCCTGGGTCGCCCACTCGCCTGCTACAAGCAAGCGGCAACCCCGCACGCCGCCCCACAACCCCTCAGCCTCCCCGGGGCTCGCCAAACCACCGCCCGAGCCGGCAAGCATCGATGCCACTCGCCGCATTGAAGCCACCTTCTGGTTCTTGCTGGATGACTACAACCATCGCCATCAGAAACCCCTTGCGCACACGCCCAACACTGTTTGAGCAGAATGTCTGACCGCCTGCCATCTCGACTTTGATGTGGCCCATCTGGGTGTTAAAGCTCCCATTTCTTCTTCTTTTTTTTTTCCTTTTTTTCTTGTAACTTGGTTCCTTTGATTTTGATAATTCTCGATGCTGCGCGTCCTTTCCCGCCGACCGCCTGCGGTCAAACCTCACAGTCAGCTGTGCTTTTGTAAATTGACATCCAGGCATGCCAATTTCCAGACTCTACTGCATCAGGCCACCCCACGAATCATCCGCTTGAAACACCTTTGCTGCTTTGCTGAACACCTTCTGATTCACGATTCAAGAAAAAAAAGAAAACGGTCTCAAACACATGCATGCGTGCTTGCACGTTGAGGTTGTTGGTTGCGGGGTTGACACTGTGCGCGCGCGGTGTTGGCGCATTTGCACGTCTTGCCTCTCTTTTTGCTGGCCAGCCAGGTGCTGTGCACACCGCGGGGCGCACGGTTGATCCGCTGCCTTCAAGGCAGGCACGGGCAATATCCAAACACGGGCGCGCCGCGCGAAGCTCTGCTCAACAACGATCACAAAGGGCCTGTAGCACACCTTGAGATCATGGCAGGCGCGATGCGGCATTCGCGCCTGCTACTCATTGGCCTGCTGGTCGGGGGCTCCATTCTGCTCAACCTCGTATTCATTTGGCGCAGCATGCACAGCGGAACCGTAGACCCCAGGCTTACTGCCGTGCATTTACCTCACCCACGACAGGCTCCCGAGAACCCCGCTGCGGTGCGTCCTGATGAGCGCCTGCCACGTGAAGAGCGCCAGCCCTACCGACCAGTCCCCGCCCCCGCCCCGCCACCCCTGCCAGCGAAAGATGCGCAACTCGATAAAGGTGAAAATTCTCCCCACGGCGACGACGACCTGATACGCGATGCGCCTCTTGAAGCACAACCCAAAGCCGGCTCAGACCTCTTGCCCCTTCCTTCAACGACCCCGACGAGCCGGCCAGCGCGAGCCCAGTCAACACCGGCGCAAACCCACCGCAGCGCTGCAGCCCAACGAGCAGTCCTGCCCACGCAACGCCAGGATACTCTGGCCAACCTTCGCACCGACCGGGATCGGGGGCATGCTCTCATCGACCAACGTGATGCCTTGGGCCGCTGTACTGGGCCAGCTCGGCGAGTCGTCTACGTCAAAACGCACAAGACTGGCAGCTCCACGCTCACCAATATATTTCATCGCTATGCGGAAAAGCATCACCTGCGCACGGTCTTGCCCAAAGGCAACACCTTCCTCGGATGGCCTCGCAGTGCGGGCATCCCCACCTCCTATGTCGAGCTTCCCAACACCCGTGACGGCTACGACATGTTTTGCAGCGCCCACACGCGCTATCACCGCGAGTATATCTCACAGATCGTGCCCGATGCTCACTATGTGACAATTTTGCGCGAGCCTACCTCACACTTCAAATCTTCCTGGCGCTATTGGGATGTTCCGGGGCACATCAAGCGCGTCTCCAACCTTGATGTCACATGGCAAAAATTTCTTGACGACCCAGACTACTGGTTCACCAAGGGCCTCAAGGGTGATCGTGACCTGCTGCACAACAGCGTGGCCTTTGACTTTGGTTTTGCTCACAACTACAGTCAAGCCGACGCCGATGACTTGCGTGCGCACTTGGCAACCTTTAGCTTGGTGCTCATTACAGAGTACATGGATGAGTCCCTAGTCTTACTCAAACGCAAGCTCTGTTGGGACCTGGACGACGTGGTTTACTTTGCGCTCAAAGTTAGCCGACATCGGCCACGCGAGCCCTTAGACCCACTATTGCGACAAAAAATCTTGGCCCTCAACTGGGTCGACGCGCAGCTCTACCAGCACTTTAACCACAGCTTGTGGCAACAAATTGCGGCTGAGAAGGACTTTGAGGCCGAAGTTGCCGAGTTTCGCCGTCGCAAAGATCTGCTGTCAGTGCAGTGCGCTGACACGGCCCCCCTCGACGAAGAGGCGCACCGCTACGCGCTCATGGAGCAGAAGCTAACAGACCCCGAGCGACAATGCCACCTGGCTCAGGTTTGAATCTCTCCCCACGACGTGCTTGATGACTGCCCCTCTTTGCACATGCTCTAAGCCCCGCTGCCCGCCTGCACTGTGCCATGCCCGCTGCCTGCAGATGGACTCGGTGGCCTTTGTGCGCTACCTGAAGCATGCGTCCGGTGCCCCAGACCCCGAGTGCTGGAACCCGGGCAACTGGCGCAAGCGGCAGGTCGTCTACATCAAGACCCACAAAACAGGCAGCTCAACGCTCACGAATATCTTCCATCGCGTCGCCTACCGCAACAAGGCGCGGCCCGTCCTGCCGATCAATAATCTTTATCTCGGTAAGGGGCAGTGTGCAAATGCACTTGTCCAACCTCAATTCTTGCAGACCACCCCTGGCACGGCTTTTGACAGCTACCCCGCTGAACGGCCCCCGGCTTGTCTTTTCTTCTTTTTTTTTTTTTTTTTTTTTTTTTTTTTTGCTTTTTTGGTAGGATACCCGGACACGGCTACACTCATGAGCTCATACGTGAAGCTGCGCCCTTTCAAGGGCCGTGACGTCTATGACATGCTCGTGTCAGCCCATGCCGTCTACAATCGACCAAAGATGGAGCTCTTGGTGCCCCAAGCCACCTACGTGACCATCCTGCGCAACCCCGTGACCCACTTTATGTCCTCTTGGAAGTACTGGCACATTCAAGACCACATCATGCGTGATCTACACGTAAACGTCACGATGAGCCAATTTCTTGCACAGCCTATGGATTATCTCCCGCGCATGAATCTGTTGGATCGGGCCTTGACTCACAACTCCATGTCCTTTGATCTGGGCATCTCATCCGAGCCCTCGCAAGATCAAGTCTTCAATTTGGTTCGTGTGTGCTTGGCTTGCAGCTTGATGCCCACAGCGCTGGCGGTTCTGCCGAGGAGTGGAAGGTGCCTTGCTCAGCCGTCGTCTATGTACCTTGACCGCTGCCTGATTGGCCTGGGCGATGATAGATGCAAGACCTGCAACAGCGATTTGGGCTTGTTCTGATCACAGAGTACTTTGATGAGAGTTTGGTGCTGATGCGGCGCATGCTGTGCTGGGATCGACGCGACATTGTCTACATGTCACTCAAGGTTTGTCCGGTGGCATTGGCAGAAATGAATCTTCTCTTGGGCCAAACCCGACCAGCACCAAGCATGGGAAAGCGGGCTCCTGCTGTATTGTCTCCCATTGACCATAGGAAGAAGCCTTACGCTCACTCTGCTGTCCTCTCATTGAACCAGGTGAGCAAGACGAGCAAGCGCGGCAGCTATGCCGTGGACCCGAAGCTTCAAGAACAGATCACCCAGCTTAATTGGGCCGACGTGAAATTGTATGATGCCATGAACCGCTCGCTTTGGCGGCATATTGACCGCGCCATTGGCTTTCAAGAGGAGCTCGAGTGGCTGCAAAAGGAAAAACTGAAGATGTACGATACCTGCAAGCAGTTTATCGGCTGGGGCGACGACAAGCACCGCAAGGCTTTGTTGGAGACGGAGATGGGCGAAGACGAGGAGGACTGCCATCTCCTCATGATGGACTCACCGGGGTTTGTCAAGGTGTTAAAGGAGGTGTGGGGCCGCAAGGACCCCGAATGTCACAACCAGGGCACCTCGAAGCACACCGTCGTCCACATCCCGACGGGCAACTGGGCCGATGACCTATTTGCCAACTGCGTGCTGCGCCATGCACTCCTGTCAGGCTTGGCTGTGGCCATTCCAGCCGAGGGGCACGCGTTTGCTACTGCCAGTGATGCCACCGCAGCCGCGGTGCGGGCGTCCATGACACGGGTGAGCGAGGCGCGGTTTGTGGCTGTGGCCGGCTTTCCGCTCACAACCAATACCAAGGCGTTGCGAGGGCTGTACGACGAAGCCTATGTCTTTCCGGTCATGGGGCACCCCGTGACCACGTTTGTCGCCACATGGCAGCGCCTCCGCATTCCAGAGCTGTTGCGCACGGCCACGGGGCAATCCGTGGATTTAAACGTATTTCTGCGCAACGCTCCCGACCTGGTGGGCCGCCTCCCAGCTCCGGCGCGTGCTGAACTGATAAATCCTCTCAATGCACAATGGGCCGCCTATGGGACGACTCCCACCAAGCGAGCATGGGCCATCATGGGACAGGTGAATAAAGTGTTGATTGCAGAACATTTGGACGAGTCGCTGGTTTTTTTCCGGCGCGCCGTGTGCTGGCCCATGGAGGACGTCTTGTATGCCGCAATTCCGACTGCAGCCCGCGGTCTTGAAGGACCGAGCGGGCAAGGGTCCAGCACAACATTGGGACTGACACAGGAGCAGGAGCAGGCCTTGTCTGCCTTGCTACAGGATGATCTACAACTGTACTCTGCGCTGAATGAAAGCTTATGGCGCGGCATCAGTCGCGAGATTTCCTTTGATGCCGAGGTCAAAGCGCTCCGTGAGCTGCGCACGCGCACCATCGAGGAATGTGCACGGTTTGCGACTGCGCCCGCGGCAGTCGCCCCAGGAGAAGCAGCCACCACACAAATATTAGGCACTGACGAGGTGGCTGAGTTGCGGCGCATCTTGCAAAATCCCAAAACTTCCCTGCACGAAAGACGGTGCCGCTTGTTGGGCCTATCGCCCGCCCAAATGGCCCAAATTGTTGGCAGTGCCGGCATGCTCCGCCCTTCGTTCTGAGAACGCACCCATCGACCGAGTATTGCTCTCTTCTTCTTCTTCTTCCTTCTTTTCTTTTTTTTGGTTTTGATGTGCGCAACTATGCGTCCTTGGTCTTGTTGCTCTTTCCAAGTGAACGGAAAGCGCCGCGATGCCCTGCTGCGTTGAATGCAGGTGTCGCAATACGCCCAAGTTTATCTTGCTCTTTAAAAGGCCATCGCCTCAGTCGGCTCCCTTCTTACAACAAAACTGACCCCACACACACACGCGCGCACACATGTGTATGCACACGCAGGACTCGAATTGGCCGCCTGCAGCCGAGCTGACATAAACTATGCAAGAGTCGATCGTCGCCAGCTACCTGCCAAGCTTTGGGTAAATGTTGTAAACAATTGGCAATCGCAGTCGGCACGAGCCAATTTTCAGGGCAGGTGAGATGCCCGCGCAGCCGACAAGCGATGCGGCGTGGACAGCTGTCCAAGCGGCTGCGGAGGGAGGCAAGCTACCTGGCAACGGCCCACTCACCCCACAACGGGATCGGAATATCATGAGTTGAAGCGATCGCGCCGGTCATTCATGTCATCCTTTTCCCCCCGACGTGTCAGCTCCCTGTCCTTGGGCCATCAAGAGCCCGTGCCTTCTCAATCTGAGATCTCTCTCCTTCCCTCCCTCCCTCACTCGCTCACTCACACACACACTCGCACACACACACACTCTCTCTCTCTTTCCTTTCCTATGGCTCCTCTTAAACTGCAAGGCAATAGAGCTGGCCCGTTCAACGGCCCGGCGGTTCAGAAGGAAGGGTGTCAGGAATTCACAAGCAGGTCAAAACTTGCAGCGGGCAGGCGAAAACGCACGACGCATCCGAAGCTCGTCCACTGCCACACACACACACACACACACACACACACACACACACACACACACACACACACACACACACACACACACACACACACACGTACGTACGTTCCATGTCCCGAAGGAGGGGACAGGGGGTAGAGAAGAAGGGTGTCCTCTCAACGCCATGTCCCCAACACCACGGCAAAAAGTCAACTGATACTCGGTCACCTCGCAAGCAGCCGCGTTGCTGGGCAGTCAACTTTAAAAATGTGTCCGCTCATCCTTTTCCGGGGTTTGGCTGCCCAGTGACGGCTGATCCCACCGTTACATCGAGGTCATCACCTCTAAAAGTCGGTCGTCGCTTTCCCAGGGGTGCATGAGTGTGCGTGTGAGAACGTGATTGAGGCTCTTGACAGTGCAGCCGCAAGGGGTGCGTCAGCGGACGAAACGAGCATTTGCTTTGCAGTTGGCTTGGCCTTTGGCTCGATCGACTGTGACAGGGGTGAGTGCATCCGAGTGAGGTGTGTGAGCAAGAGGAACCGGGCGCCGTTGGATTGCAGCAGTCGACCACCATTGCGTGGACGCTGACGCCGCTCGCCAGCTGCCCCGATGAAAGAGGCCCGGAGTGAGAGGTCTTGCATCCGAAATCCACCGCAGCGCGCCCCTTGCCAGAGGAAAGACAGTGAGGCGACTGGCGTGATGCTGCATTTTCTTTGAGCTTGGGTGGCCCTTCTTGAGCATAGGCCATCAACGCGTCTGCGGCCCCATTGTCCTGCCATTGCCCGTGCGCTCATTGTCGCTTTCACTTCTAGTCGCTGCCTTTGTCCCGACCTGCTGGCACGACCATCAACATCATTGGTGTTCCTGCCGTGTGCATAAATACATCCGATTACACACACCATGGCTCGTACTCTGAGTCTACTCTTGGTGTGCTTGGCCCTGGCGGTGCCCAGCATGGCCGATCGTGACCTACTGGAAGAGAACCGTTTTCATGGCCGTTGCATTCGGGCTATTCATGCAGCGGACCACGGGTATGATTTTATGCGTCACGAGTGGCCACCGTCTTATCCCCGCGCCCACCGTGCGAGCGAGGCGCTGGTCATCGTCTCATCGTCATTGCCCATGGCTAGGCACTACGTGTCCACGGGTCATGCATCGGGCATCGACATGGCCGCCACCATCTGCCGAGGCGACGTCGACTGCCAGCACATTGCCCCATGCGAATCTGGGGATTGCATGCAGGTACGCACCAATTGGCTGCTCCAAGATCACGCCCTCGCTCTCTACTCGCGCCGTACGCACGGCATGGGTGTCCACGTTCTTTTCCCCCTCCCCCTATTCATGATGACATTGCCATCTTGAAAAAAAAATCCCAAAAATCGCATCTGTAGCTGCATCGCTGCGAGTCCAACACCAATGCCGTCTGTGCGCTGTATGTCCCGGTGCACTGCACCGAGGATGTGGTGAGCGCGCCCCAGTCTGCCGTGCAAAGCAGCTCCGTCCTGAGCTTGGCCAACAAGGCCGGCAGTAGTGTCGCTCTGGGCGATCGCTTCTTCTTTGTGGGCGCCCCCAAGGCGGACAGCGCCTACGACAAGACTGGCCTCGTCTATGCCGCCCACATTTCTTCAAACGAGGCCATTCTTCAGGAGCTCGTGGGCGATCAACCCGGCAAAAAGGACAACTTTGGTGCCGCGGTAGCCACCTTTGGGACCACCCTCATGGTTGGTGCACCGGGTGCCGACACCAGCATCAAGAAAGGTGGCAAAGTCGAGGTCTTCACCATGGTTCGCAACGCGTGGGAGCGTACCCAGGTTTTGGCCCCTGCCGGCTTGGCACAGAACGATGATTTTGGCGCCAGCGTTGCGCTCGGCAACGGCGTAGCCATTGTCGGTGCCCCACGCGACTCAAGCATCAAGGTCAAGGCCGGTGCCGCCTACGTATACGCTGCCGACCGGGAGGGCCAATGGTATCTCATTGACAAGCTGCAAGTGAGCCGACCCAAGGAGAAGGGACGCTGCGGCATGAGCGTGGCCATCTCCGGCCTGACAGCCGTTGTTGGCTGCTCTGGCAAAAAGGAACGTGCCTTTGTCTTTGCCCTTCGCGATGGCACTTTTACGGAACTCACACAGATCAAACAAGGCGCCAACAACTTTGGCCAGGCCGTGGCCATCGCCTCAAATGAGCTGGCGTACGGTCCTCTGCGCACGGCCGTGCTCATTGGTGCTCCTGATCAGAAGGACGGCCGTGCTTTCATGTACGAACTGCAGTCAGATGGACAAGCTGAGCGCACGGAAAAGTTCAAGCCCAAGTCTGATGCCAACCCCAACCGCTTTGGTGCCAGTGTGGCTCTGAGCCCGGGCGGCCGCTACTCGGTCATTGGAGCCCCGGGCGAGTCGGGTACTTCTGATATTGGGCGTGTGTTTGCCTACGAGCGTCAACGCGAGTGGGAGCTGGTCCTTGAAGCCGTGGCCCCTGACGTGAGCGCTGAGGGCGACCAGTTGGGCACGGCTGTTGATATTCGGGCCACTTCCAGCGGCTTTCTCATCATGGCCAGCGCTCCCAAGGCGCTCAATGACGGTGCTGTCACCTTCATTTCCAGCTAATCGCCCGCCTCATCAATCAGTACGCTGAGGCCTTGGTCCTCCAGTGCCTCGGAGCAGCTGTAGATAGAGACAGAGCTGAAAATAAACTATTTCTACCCGCGTCGCCGGCCCGCTGCATGGCAAGCGCCATCGCGTGCGCCTGCTGTCGATGTTGTAAAATTTGTCTGTGGGCGACGCTCTATTAATCGATTCGACCTTGGCAATGTCTGGTTCTCGAAGAAACGCACGGATTGATGCAAAATGGGGATGAATTAGGGGCTCAAGTTAAGTTGCGAGTCACGACCACTTAAAAGGGTAAAATCAAAGGAGAAAGAAGGGGGGTTGGGGATTGAAACTCTAATATACTCACACAGGAGAAAGAGAAAGAGAGACAAGATCAAGGACGCCAGCAGGGTGGTGCCCATGCTTGGCATGCTTGAGCATGATCAAGGTCAAGACTAGCTTTGCTCAACGACAACGGCCTCTCCACCCTCACGGGAAGGGCCAGGGGTGTAGTAGTGGCTAACCTCGTAGCGGTAGCGCAGTTTGTCTGACCGGTTGCCCAAAAGCCACACAATCCGCGCCGCATAGAACTAGATGCCGTCAAGGAGTGCGCAAAATAAGAGCAGAAGCAAACCGTGAGCAAGTCAGCAGTATGGTCTGGCACTCGAGGCAATAGCTCATCGTTGTGTCAAGCGTGTACAGGCTGCAATGGCACTACCTGGACGCCAAGAAGGCAAATGTTGGCTAGACAAAAGAAGATGGTCCAGAACTCGGACCAGTTGCCGGGAATATTCCAAGGATCAATCTGCGCTAGGAGCACAAAGGCACCAATGCCAGATGTACTCTATGCCAAAGGGGCGAGGCAATCAACACCGACGACTTGGTGAGGTGGCGTACACCGCAAACCACTGGAGCCGCATGGGGTGGCTTGGCTCACTCGGTCAGCTTGCATCTTGGATGCGTCAACAACATACTTTGCAAAGAAGGGTCGCCACAGATGCTACTTTGAAGGTGGTGGCTTCGCGGCGCAAAACAGCAATCAGGCGGGTTCGATGGGCATGAATCTGCTCCTGCCGTTGTGTCAAGTGGCGATTTTCCTCTTGATCAGCGTTGAGTTGAACGATAAAGTCTGAGCGACGCATTTCTGCCTGCAATTGCCGGCTAGGATGTTGCACTAAGTCCGCAAATAACAGACCATGGGAAAGCATGAGGCAGAAAGGTCAGGCAGCAGTATGCATATTGATAATAATATTGTTCTTCTGGCTGAGCGAGGTGCGACCACTCAACAAGCCGACGAGCAAAAGAAATAGGGCAGGCGCGGGTCGCGCGTACATTGGGCGAGAGATTGCTTCATCGTCTTGAATCGAGTCACGGTGTTGGCAGGTTTTGCAGGAGATGTGCCTGGGCAGAATACGACAGCAGGCTGTGAGCTCCTCGCAGACCCAGCAAGGGCTATGAAGGTGACCACGCCGGTGCCTGGGCACCATACCTCCTTCGGTGGTGTTGGTGGTGGTGGGGAGAAGCTTAGGACCTTCTTCCTCGTCTTCACCTGGATGAAGTGCGTCGTGCAAGAGCACTCGTCGGCTAGCCCGAACAGTTGCTGTCATGGGTGGGCGGTGTAGCAGAGGTCGAGGAGCGGCGTCTGGTTAGATTGGCATGAGATGTGCCTGCAGGAAGAGCGGGCCAAGAAGTGGGCTTCTAAATGCGCTGGACCTCAATGGTAGCGTCTACCTGCGCGAGTGAGGCGTGAGCGAGAGTTGGCAGGGCGCAGCTGGGGCGGACTCTTGCTGGGAGACGCTTGAGCTTCACTCTCTGCGTCAATGTCCGCTTCGTCAATCACAGTGTGCGGTTGAGACGACTCTTCGTCCGTCTGGGGTGGTATATGCCGGCAAAATGCAAAGCGATGGGAATGAAGATGCAGAACATGATCGAGCGGACTGGAAGCACGCAGGAAACGGGGACGTACGGGCGTGGTCATCAGACTGGAGGCCAGCAGGGAAGGTTGCTCGGCGTGTCCGACTTGAAGATACTCGTCAATCTGCTGTCCTGGGTCGGTGTCCGCTTCATCTTGGCCATCCAGGGCATCGAGCGCTGTGGCTTTGAGGATGGCTTCTTCGTAGCTCATGCGAACGACACGCATGCCGAGGGCGTAAAAGACAAACTGCTCGGTCGTGGCGGTCAGAGCGACGACCCAGCCCATCCGCAGCGGATACAGCTGCAGCAGCCAAGGACGGACAGGGCCTTGCAGGTGAGGCTTGCCGGGGTAGGCGAAGAACGAAGGGCAGATCGTGGCCAGCGCTGCGGGACGCGGGCCTTTTGGTCACGAACCTGCTGATCGTCGCGCACGGTAAAAATGGCGAGCATGCTCAGGAGGATGGTGATGGCGTGATGCGTCCAGAGCTCGTAGCCAGTCTGGGGGCGATATACCAGCTCCACGATGTACAATGCCACCTTGATGGGTATGCCCATGCAGCATGAGTGAGAGGATGGTCAGGCGGATCACAGTTTGGGGGGGGAGAAAAGGGGCACAGAAAGGCGTTTCCACGCACCAAGGGCGCAAGTAGGCCGTCCTCGAGAAGGTGGGACTTGCGGCGCAGGTCATCATAGGCAAGCGCATCCGGATCAATGACGACTTGGATAGTTGCCATTTGAATGATGAACATGATGGTGGTCACGATCATTTCAACGCAATAGGTGATGACATTGCGGCGATGGCGGATGCTGAGCACTTTGTACTCGGGCCAGATTTTGGGGAGGATGGCCTCCATGAGCTTGATCAAGATGAGGATGCCGAGAAAGATGGTGGCTTCCCACATGCCAAACGAATCAGGATAAGCGTTGACGGCTCGCGCCCCGGCCTGGGGTATCATGTGGGGCGGCACAGCCGCGGTGGTGTTGGCGACCGTGGCCATGGTCAAAGTCCAAGGGGAGACAGATGGGCGTTGTCGATGCGCTGCAACCGCCGGAGCCCACAGGTAGCGGACCGCGGGCCGCGGGCAGCAGGGCAGCAGGACAGCAGGGCAGTGGGCAGAGGATTCAACTTCCTCGTTCAAAAGGGTAGGCGCAGGTGACTCCGGCACCCACCCACTCAGCCAGAGTGAAAATAAAAATAACAATAATATAAGAACCGAGACCGAGACCAGGATATCGATCGAGGAGGAGAACGATTCAAGGGGCACACACACACACACACACACACACACACACACACACACACACACACACACACACACACACACACACACACACACACGGATAGAGTCAGACCAGAGCGAGGGCGGGGGCTGCCACAAGCCCAAGCCCGAGCTTGCTGGTGTTTTTTTCCTTTTTGTTTTCACACATTGAGAACTGAAGGTGAGGGTTACGAAGAAAAAGTGTCATGTCTTTGTAGACAAACTTGTGGGTATAGTACTTGTCAAGGCAGGGTGGAGTTAGTAAAAATGTGCACAGCGCACAACATGAGAAAGACACGACACGGTTCCATATAAGGCAGCGCGAGCAGTTGGAAAGAGGTACGGACGGTGTGCGCCTTTTGGGAGAGAGAGAGGACCAACCAGAGCCTTGAGCGCTCAACAGCGTTGCTCAAAAATACCGATTGTTCTTACGGCCCATCGCGTACAGCTTGCGCTCACGCCTGTCTGTGGGCTCGCTGGCAAGGATTCAGTTGGATTTTTCAAGGCAAACAAAGGCCACTCGCACTGCCTTGTGAGAGAGACTCTCTCCTTTGTCTCAAACGCAGAACCAAAACCCCTATCCGCGTTGTCTCGATTTGATCCACGCGGACGAGCTGACAACCACACATCCCACAGATGTGCTTTAAATCCCAAAAGCATTTGTCCGGAATAGGGGCAAGGCACGCGCCGGCGCACTGACGTCACCGCAACGCTGGTGGTGTTGACAACTGTTGTTATTCACAATCAAACAGAGGCAAAGCTTTGAATTCTTCAACGTACGCTTTCACACACAACACCACCAAAGCGCAAAGCGGGCACGACGCGTCCATTTACTGCACAAAGAGCTCGGGTGCTTGGAGCTCCATTTGTTGTGACGCCTCGTTGACGGCTTCGCACCAGGTGGCAAACCGGTCAGCCAACGCTCCAACCTGCACAACCCACCGAGTACAGACCAACAATTGAGCATGTCCGCGAGGCACACCACGCCGCAAGAGACACCACGCCCGCTCACAGCGCCATCAAAGCGTCCAACGGCCGTCGATCTTACCTGTTGCAGGTCCAACACCCGCGGCTGCACCCAGTTGAGCTTGGCCAAGCCCTCGACCTGGTCAATGGCGCCTCGCACGAGACCAAGGGCCATGGCACGCATCACCAGGCGCTCCACCGCCTCCTCCGTCACATTGGCCGCTTGAGCAATTGTGTCAAACTTGAGGTCCCGCATATGCGGGGGCGACTTAAACACGAGCTCCATCAACGCCAGCAGGCGAATCTTATCTCCCAACACCTCCGTGCTACATTCATCCACCAGTCGGCGATACGGACAGCACCGACGAGCACGAAAAGAGCAGCAATGAGCTACATGTCTTGAGGAACACAGAGGAGGGCTTTGCAATCCATCAACGGGGACAGCGAGAAGCAAGCAAGGCAAGGTGCGGGCCGTACTTGGCAGCCAGATCAGGAGATGACTTCCAGTGATTGTCCAGAGCCTCAAACTTTTGCAAGTCGCCTACCCAAAAGACCATGTCATTAGAGTTTTTCGCACGGCCCTCCACGAAAGATTTAAGGTGCGAAACGCCATGATCAACCCTTCTCTGATTGAGAGCCCCAAAGCCTCACGCACCAGCATTGAAAGCAAACAACAGCTCCACCAGCCAGGCCTTGTCTGTGTCGCGCAGGGCGTTCAGAATGTCGTGCGACAGCTATATCCCCAGGCACCAGTGACAAGCCCCAACGAGTTGAGCGGTAAGTATAATCAGGCAGGCATGGGCGCCAAACCAAGCCGGATCGGCTATAGCAGCCAAGCACGGGCAAGGATACGTACCAACTCGCCGAAATTGTAAATGCCCTCGCCCAAAAGCGCTGCCAGAGACAAGTCAAAAGCCCGTTGCACCTGATCCTCGACTACACCCAGCAGACATCGATCGATAACGCGTCCGTGGCGTGTCATTCGAAGGTGAGGAGACAGTTGGCGGCTATTCGGGCCACCCCGGCACAAAAGAGGCAACACGCGCGCCAATGACCATTGACCATACCAGGAAGGGTATTGATATCCGTGCACCCAAGGAAGCGCAGGGCGTTGATGTAAAACTCAGCAAAGTTGGCCTTGTGCTATAGCATGCAGGCCGGGTGGGGCGCATCAACTGGAGGTACGGCAACTGTGCAGGGAGAGAAAGAACGCGGGCATCATACACAAACCTTGTGGTACTCGGCAGCTACACGGTAATAACTGCCATGCATTTCTGTCACGCCATCCAACTGGTCCAGTAGCTTCTCAGCCTCACGCAGCTGAGCCTGAGACAAGCACACGATGCAACAAGGCCAAACCATCAGCCTTTGTCTGCGTGACATTTGCCGACACGGCAGAAAGAAAACGAACGGCCTTGGGCTTCAAGCGGGTGCTGGCAGGTTCGTGGAACTGATAGAACACCGATCCATACCTGGCATTCGCTCTCGTGGTTGAGACGAAGATGCAGCTCGGCGATGGCCGCCTGAACAAGCACCGTCGCCGCAGTGTCGGCTGTCACCTGATTCTTGATGTTGCCCAAGAACTCGAGCGCCTGCTCGGGGGCTAAGCATGACAGCAAAGACATATGAGACCAGCATGGGTGGGCGTCGCCCTGACTGCCTAGACAGCTCCATTTCAAAGAGGGCTACAAACGCAGTCTCGACAGAGGGGCGAAAGAAATTTTACTTACTCTCAATCTGGGTGGCAACGACGAGGCAGAGATGGACGTAGCTGACTTGGTTAATCCTAGGAATGAGGTGTCGTGAGACATCGGCCATCTCAAGGTGGCCCATTGCCAAGTCGAAGCACAATGAGAAGAAGCAGTCGACACATCACCAGACGCACTTGGAGGCAAAATCCGAGATGAACTGTTCATAGAGCTAGATAAAGCAGATGAGGCCGTCGGGACCAAACACGGGTTGAGACTGGAGTTGTGATCAACATGCAGGCCTTGGCGGCTGTAGCCCTCTCACAATGAATGAAAAGGGGGTGCGGTGCGCGGTGTCAGGGGATGCGGAATACACACCTGCACGAGGCCATCGTCCGCAAACATGGGCTGTTGCACCATCTCCAGCAACTTTTGCGTCAATTGATGCCACAGCCTATCGCCACACAAGTTCAACGCGTTTGTTACACCGCATCAGAGTTGTTGCAGGGGTTGTTATTGGTGCGACCCTGTTACAAAACGAGCTGGAGGCTGCTCAGCAGCAGTGACATACTTGCGCGTGTAGAGAGTTTCGACCTCTTGCCAGAGCTCGGCCGTCTCGCCGGCATGCTTGGCAATTTGGGATTCCAGATAAGCAGCCGCCATCTTAATGATGGGTATGAAACAGATGTGCTACAGGCCGATACAAACGGGCTGGCGTCAACTCCAAGAGCTGAAGTCATCAAGAGCAGAGAAAATGTCCCGTGATGTGAGCGTATGTGCAGTGAACAGCGTGGCCCAGAGCCCAATCCAAGTCCCCCTAATCGCCCTTTGACCTATCTCTATAGCTTGGCTCTGTGCCCAGACACCTGGGTCTGGTGCTCGAACACCGGCGCTGCCCTTGGTGCTCCACGTCAGCTTGCCACTGGCAGCAGCAACGCGGGGGAGGCGAGCCAACTAACGCACAGGAAGCAATTCTGCCTCGTCTCGCTCACAAACGGCCTAAACACAGGTTGGCCTCAAGTCCAATCCGCCGTCTGGTGCGACCAGCGGGTGCACAGCGTCTGAATGCTACTCGACAGGGCTCCACTGCCCCTTCTGCCGGTCGTCTTGTCGTCGCTGTCGTTGTTGCTTTTGCTTGGATATTGAAGCCAAAAACACTTGCAAACACTTCTCTACACTTCTCTACACTTCAGTGTCGGATTCTGCTCCATCTCTGATTCCTGCTTGTTCTAACCTTGCGCTGACGTTGACACTGGTGAAGCCTCTCTGCAACTTTGCTTGGTGCAAGAGACCATCTCTCACTCTTGGATGGCCAAGAACAGATGGTAGCAAGTTTTTTATTTTGGTCACAATAGTTGTTGTGTTCGCTTTTCTACCTCGACAGCATGGTGAGGGAGCATTTTTTTTTTTTTTGGACTGTGACTTGCTCGCTTGTGCGCGCGGTCGGTCACGCGAGGGGCAGTGGGCTGTGTGGCCGCGCTGCTCTTGCTTGGATTTGGTACGAATGCTGGAAGGCTTGGAGAATCCGTTTGTCCAGCTGTTTTCTGCTCTGTTTGTTTGCCAGCACCGCCTTTTTTTTTTGTGTGTGTGTGTGTGGTGCTGCATTCTCTGGCCGTGGACTCCCACTTGGCGGTTGGCCCCTGGTGTTGCTTGATTGAGCGGTGACCTGGGTGCAATGGAGGTGACCGCGTGTCCCCCATTCACCTGTGGTTATTGTTGACTGAGCATGCCGCCTATGGACCCATCGCCGGGGACTCTACGGCCTATACTACACCCTACCGGGACATTGGCATTCAACGGCCCAGGATGGGCGGTGGTGGTTTTTGCTTTGCACGAATCGCGGCTCGCTCTTCCCTGGATCGGCTGTGTCACGCGGGTGTCGGTCCGAACCACGCACATCGCTTCGTCCGAGTCAGCGATTGGGCCGAAATGGGCCGATAAACTCGTTCTTCTCTCGCCTTGTCAATTTGCCTCTCTTGCTCTCTTGACTCTGCTTGATTGACACATCTGATAAAGGTTCGCCGGCTCATCCCATGTGCGCCTGCTCGCGTGTATAGCTTTGCGATGTGGCTCGTCTGCTGGAGCTGGGCCTTTCGTGCACCCTTCGGCTTTTAAGGATGTGCGCGGCACACTTCCCATCTGCATACATGATAGTAATGTTATTATCATGTTAAAAGATCAAGCAAAGCCATAAATTCTGAGCGAGCGAGGGCGTAAGAGGAATGGGTAGCCGTGGTGCTATTCTCGGCTTGACAAATAACCACTCGCAGTCATCTCAACAGCGCCACCAAGCCCCGTCATAGATGCTCGGGTGCACATGGCATTTCTCTCTTTTATTCCTCAACGAGACAGATGGGGGAGGGGGGGAGGAGGTTGTGCCGGATGAGGATGACAACGCAGAAACCACACACATTTGTAAAACAACAGACGGAGCACAAGACTAGATCACGCGGGGGGCGTGGGTGTCGGATGAGGAGGAGGAGGACGACGCAGAAACTGCACGCATTGGTGGAACCACGCACGGCGCACAGGGTTGATCAATCTCATGTTGCATCCAAGCAAGGATCTAGGGCGGCCCAGGCACGCCCTGGTGACGGACGCAGAGAAGTCACCGAATCGGGCCAAAGATGACTTGAAACGTGAGTGATCATGTTGGGATTTGCCGAGGTACCGACCGTCACGGCAAACACGAGCGGCAGCTCATTGACGTCAGACTTGGAACGGATGGGGCTAAGCACGGTCGGCCCTGTCACGGCCCCAGGTTGTGCTGCTTGGCCAGCCATCGCCTGTTGCACAGGCAGGTGTAAATGTTGATCTGCTCCCAACCGGCTATCGAGAAAAACATCCAACGCACACGCTTCTGCGCATTGAGGGCATCACGTCCGAGGCCATTGTGCTTGTATAAGGATTATGTATTTTACTTTTACTCGGTGGCTTTAAGTTGATGGTCACTTCATGCGCCCACAGCCTCAGAGCCTTTTGAAATTTGCAAATCGAAATGAGCAGTAAAAACGGACGTAAAATAATAGTGCATTGCATGACCCCCCAGCCCACCTTTCAGAGCCTTTTTTCTTCTCTCTCTCTCGGTCGTTGTCTCGCTCTTCCAGACCACAGGTACGATATTAGCACGGGCAGGTCTGGGGGCCGCGCCCTCTTCTCAGTGTATGCAGGAGCGTGTTCATGGGAGGGGAATGCATTGGGAGTCGCAAGGGTCCTTGCCGTGCCGCATTGGCACGGCTTGAGTGCCCCGGGCCGAATTTGCAAACCAGCCAGACTGGAGCCTCGTGCCGAGGCATTTGGGCAACGACCGACTTTGATGCATGCTCAATAGCGCGAGCCTTGTTGGAATATGAGGACCATCGTCGTTGCGTAGATGCTGTCTGATCTGACTGCCTCTTTTGCTCCTTACTCTATGTCACTGATTGGACGTGTCAACCGCGAACCCAATAATAGATTACCATGGCTCTTCGTCGTTCTCTTCGCCTGGCCGATGGCGGCTTCATGGAGTCGCTCGGCAAGTGGGCCCGCAGCGCCGCTGGCTACCGCCAAATGGGTAAGTGCTTTCTTTGCGTAGTGGAATCAATGTGTTGCGCTCCTGTTATCGGGTCTTATCTGTTGTCTCGCGAAACCCTCACGCTCGGTCACACCTCACGCCTGATTCAGGCCTCATGACTGACGATCTCATCCGCGAGGAGATTGCCGGCGTGAAGGAGGCCATCAGCAGGCTGCCTCAGGAGGTGCAGGACAAGCGTTATTTCCGTATTAAGCGCGTACGTCCACCACACCTTGGCCTGACGCCCACAGAACCTGCTGAGAACCGTGCTACCCGCTGGCCACCACAAGCACTGACCTATTGATCTTTTGTGTCCCATGTCCCTTCTCACAGGCCATGCACCTGACGAATAAGGACACCTTCCTGCCCAAGGACCAATGGATCACCGAGGAGACGGTATGCTTCCCCCACATTCGTGATCATTGCTAGGATGTGAGCCTCCAGCTCTTGGCCCAAGCCTCACATGAGCTTTTCTGCGCTTGGGGCGTCTATCCTTCCAGGACGAGCGCTACCTGCAGCCCGTGCTCGCTCAGGTGGAGAAGGAGCTTGCCGAGGCCGCGGAATACGACAACCGTGCCTAAACATGCCGTCTGTAGCTGAGAGGAGGCACACTGGCCTCCCAACCAGGCTGGGCTCGTCAGTCTTGCTGGCGATGCTTGCAGGAACTCGGCTTTTTGATGGGCTAGCCTTCTGACCATCCAAGCCATGCATTCCCTCTTGTTTTCCCCCGTTTGTTTTTTACGCACCTTTTCATCACCCAGTCCCCTTTCGTTTTCTTGTCTATCTTTTTTTTTTTCCTTTGGCACCATTGCCATTGCCAGCGTGCTTCCCACGCTTCCCCTTGACGCCCGTTTTTTTCCATTCATCCCCACCACCTCTTTCTTCCCCCTTTTTTGCCCCCATGGGCTTCCCATGTTGATGAATATCGTGTTTGCTGTGCAGCACGGCAAGCTCAAGAATTGGAGAAGCTCAAAACTGATGCTCAAGCGTCTCTCTCTCCCTCTCTCCCCCTCTCATCCACAACAACCAGGCTTCATTTCAATTATCTGGTCTTGATGCACAGCACCCATCGTCATTATTTGGCAATGACGCTCAATACTCTTGCCCTTTCTTTCATATCTATCTCTTCCAGGTCTTGGGTGCATATTCTCAGTGCACCTTGGGGATGATACGCCGAGGTGTTGGAAACTAAAGAAGCGCATCCAACTCGCTTTCACTGTCAAAGTCATCTTGCAACAGGGCCTCCATGGCCATGTCCACTTCCAGCTTGAGTGCAGATGGGGCCATATGTGGTGGCACGTCATGCTTGGCACGCTTGGGCGCCGGCGTAGCCTCGGCGCTGGTGGCCACTTCCATGGTTGGGACACCCGGGGCTGCATCGGGCGGCGTCGCCTCGTGCGCCGGCAGCTTTGGCTGGTTTGCCGCAACCGCTGGCCTAGACTGCTCGGCTGCATCCTCCTCATCCGACTCGAGGACCGCTTTGTTGCGGCGCGAGCGAGGCGCAATTGGCGAATCTCCGTCCGTGTCACTGGCGCGCTCGGCCTTGGGGCTCTCCTGTACCTTGGCGGACGCGGGCCCGATAGGACCATGGGGCAGTGGCGAGGCAGGCGCTTTGTGGTTTTTGATGGAGCTGGTGGTGGCCTCCTCAGCGGCCTCAGCTTCGCGTAGAGCCTCCCAGTCAGCATCCTCGCCATCGGCCATAACCTGGGCCTCGGCCTCGGCCTCGGCGCGTGCCTCGTCCTCAATGCCGCCCTGCAGCAGCGCCATAAAGGGCTCTGGTTCATGAATGGCCTTTGCAAAGGCAAAAAATGCAATCACACGTGACCACAGTTTATTGGTTCGCAACAGCCGGCGGTTTCCTACGGATGTACGAACGGGGGGAGCGGGAGGAGGGGGAAGAGGTCGGGTATACGATGAGCCACAGCAACCTTCACAAACGGCAAGTGGGCGAAAACCACAAAGACACCGTCTCCCTGTGGGAACCACCGCCTCGGAAGACACACAACACAAGCAAATATGTGAGGAAGGTCGTCGTTCTGGCTTACCAACGAGAATCAAGTGATTCTTCGCTCGGGTGAGTGCCACGTTGACGCGTTGCTCCGAGTCGATAAAGCCGACTTGCTGTGTTCGGACGCACGAGACGATGACGACCTGCTTCTCACCGCCCTGAAAGGCGTCCACGGTGCTCACCTGCACCTGTTTGGCTTGCGCCTTGCGCTTGAGACGCTCCTCGATGATCTCAGCCTGTGCCCGATAGAGACAAATCACGCCAACCTCTTCGGGTTCGACGTGATGATCCAGTAAAAAGCTGACAAGCTGAACCACAAAGCCAGCTTCGGCCTCGTTGATGTAGCTCACATCGGCGTGCCGCCGCTCTTCCCCGCGCGCTACGTCACAAAAGCTCAGTGGAGGCAGCGGAGGTGCTAGCGTGGGCCGGTCCACTGCTGCCACGCCGTCGCGGAGGCGCGATTGGTAGAACAAGCGGTTTGTAACCGCCGAAATTGCCGGGTGGCAGCGATACTGCGTGCGTAGCATGATGGGCTCCGTCCCCATGGACATGAGGCGATCAAAGAGGGTCTGCTCAAGACCTTTGGTGCCAGCAGACTCGGCGCCCGTGACCGTGGGACTCAACTGCTTGGGGTCACCCACCAACAACAAGAGGCGACATCGAAACTTGGCGGCCGGCAGCAGCGCATTGGGCTCGGTCATTTGACAGGCCTCATCAAGAATAATGATCGGGAAGCTGAGGTGGTCTAGGCACGGGAAGGCGGTGGCGGCGCAAGTAACGCCTACGAGGCGAGCATCGGCCAAACGCTCACGATTGGCACCCTCCTTGAGTGACTCGATGCTGCGACGCAGTGTATGCTTGACGCCATCGTCCACTTCTTGGGCGTATAGCTTCTTGAGCTCGCGCAGCTCTTGTTTGTCGCCGCTAGCGCTGCCATGGGTCGAGTAGGGCCGCACGGGGGCGGAGATCTTCTTGGCCGAACCCACGCGAACAAAGTCCTCGTAGCCCAGCTTAACCAGGGCCTCGAGGATGCGATCTACGGCCACGTTGGTCGTGCTTGACACGAGCATGCGCCAAAAGGCGTCCCGAGACTGTCGCCCAGCGCCCACACATGCCCACACATGCCGAACCAGTCGGAACCCGGGAAAAAAAAAACGGGCGGTATTTGAAGCATGAGAGGCGGTGTTTGAAGCATGAGAGATGGGCAAGAGGGGGGACCTCAGACCAGGAGCCGGCAGCAACTTCACGGCTTCCCTAGCATGAGGGTGGCTTGGCATTGATGGCGCGTACCTTGGTGGCGGCACGTCCGCCCTCATCAAAAACAGCCGATACAAACATGATAAGGACGGCCACGAGAAAGGACTTGCCCGCCCCGTAGACGCCGTGTACGAGGCGCACAGTAGGCGGGGCCTGATTGGCCTCGGAATCGTCCATGGTGGGCAGATCTCGTGCCATTTGCCACAGGACGGCTTGCTGATCCTCGTTGAGCCTAAGCGACGAGACGTGAAACAAGCAAAGGGTTCAAAGCGGGAAGCGACGAGCGCGACGAGCGCGACGAGCGCTTCGAGGAGAAGTTGGCCGGTGCTGCTGGCAGCTGGGACGTGAGACACACCGATAGCGATTGCAAAAGTCGCTTGCCAGCGTCTCTAGGCGCTGTCGCGTCAAGAGCAACTGTGGCGCTCGGATCGTGCGCGGATTGAAGGTGGGTCTCGGACCCAGCAAGGCCGGGAGAATGGGCAGCTGGCGTGGATCCACAAAATGCTCGAGGTTCTTCATACACAGCGACTCGGTGCCCGCGTTAAACGCATGGATGGCATAGACGGTGGCTATGATGCATCAGAGCACGACAGGATGAGACACGTGCCTCTGACGCACACCTTTATTTTGTTTTGAAGGAAGAAAAAAACCCTCTTAAGCAGGGCAAGAAGCGAGCGGTGGATCACTAGCAGCCCTCCATACGCACCTGACGGGTCCCATTCACGATGGCGATAGCCCGAGTGTGGAATTATCTCCAGCTCGTTGTCTTTGTTGGGTCCAAAGTACGAGCTGATGGCGACAAAAGTCTCCGCTGGACCAAACGCGAGGCTGCGGCTGACGACCCACAGGTCATCTGCAAACCCATCCGTTTAACAACATGAGCACGCCATGCCCATCCATGCGCCAGGCGGCCACCATACAACAGGTGAACAAAGGATGCAGTGGACGATAGGGCACAAACCACGACTATATGTTTTGTGGTGGTCTTTGCGACCCAGCGTCACGTAAAGAGCACCAGCGCGACGAGCGCCCTGGTCTGGACGACTGAAGCGGCTTGGGCCTAGGCTGCACTCGGCGTGTAAGCGAACGCCGTACCCACGCATGGCCACCTCAAGTTGCTGTAGATTCCCAGATCCCAATGTCACCCAAGACACAACGGCGTGCGTGAGACAAGGCCACGGCAGCGCAGCACGATAGAGCAGCTAAAACACAGACCGAGCCACTGCGGATGGTTGTTTTCTTCGGTCCGCCACGGCGCGCATTGCCATGTTTGCCCTGATTGTCCGTACCAAACCGAGACAGGATGAGTGAGCGTGAGTGAGGGAGCGAGTGAGGGAGTGAGTGAGGGAGTGAAGCCATGGCAGGGGCGCGAGTGAAGCAATGGCAGGGGCTGGGTTTGGAGCATACCTCTTCATCGACCCACAAAAAAAAGCCACACCCGTCGGCCCTAGCATATGATCAAGAGCCGCGCTTGCCATCAATGAGCACGAAGCGAGAAGTGAGAGGAACAACGAGTGTGCGCGGCTACCAACCTGGACTTTGGGCAGCTGTAAAACATGCGGCCCTTGTTGGCTCCTTCCTTCTTGACGGCCCGGAGGACGGTGCGGCCGTGTTTGCAACTAGGGTTGCTGGCGTTTGGGTCACCGGAGCGACAGCCGGGCGCATAGTCTTGAAGGTCAAGAAAGCTCAGTCCGCGATGGTACTCGATGGCCACATCCCGCAGCTGGATGTTCAGCTAAAAGAAAACATAAAAATCAACAAAACGCATCCAGACAAGCTTTAGCACGCGCAGAAACACCAAAGCAGGAGCAGATCGGGCCGGGATGCGACAACGCGACTATGAACCAGCCCGAGGCCAAAAAAAGCCGAGGCCAAAGAAGCATGGGCACACCTGCTCAATCAAGGCGTTGGTCAGGGTGCGTCGGTACTCCAGGACTGAGGAGAAGCACGGCGGGATGACGACTTGACGCTGTTCGGGGGTCCCGTTCACCTCGGCGGCGGTCATGAAATGCAGGCTCAACAAGTCTGTCTGGGCCCCCGGGTCGGCCGTTGGGGGTGGTACAAAGCTGGGCGATGTTGATGGCAAGGCGGTGGATGGGACGACCGCGGGCGTGAGCGAGGGTGTAACCGCAGTCACAGTCGAGGGTTGCTGCTGATGTTGCTGGTGTAGCTGCTGCTCTTGAAGGCGCTGACGGTAGGCTTGGCGCCACGCGCGACGGTCCACCGGCGCTTGGGTACTTGGTCCATCGGAGGCAGGGGCAGGGGCAGGGGCAGGGGCAGGTGTAGGTAAAGTTGTTGGTACAGGTGTGCGTGTGGATGACAAAGAGCCGGGGGTTGGTTGGGCAGTCGCGTGGGGCGCCGGCGCCGTGTTGGAGGGCCCCGCAGCGGGGATGGCCGGACGGGCGAGGCCCGTGGTACGGCGGGGGCGAGCACCCAGACCGACGCCCAACCGACGTGGCTGAAGGGCTTGGCTCTGCGCCAGGGCGCGTTGAGAGCTTTGTAGGGCCCGGGCGATGATGTCCCCGGCACTACCAGCTTCATCGCCGGTGGCGAGCGGCATGGCGCCACCCGTTGAGAAGACAACGTCGCCCGGGGGCAAGGCCTGCGTAGTGGGACGGCCAACCCCATCATCTAATTGTGGAGGGCGTTCCTTGAGTGGCGGTCGATAGGCGGGACGTGTAAATGCATTGGAGGGCGTCGCGCCCGAGCCAGCCCCATTGGCCGGGGCCAATCCCGACACTCGCTTGATACGCGGTCGGGTCATGGCACTGCTTGTACCACCGGCGTGGTGTGGTCTGGCGGCAACCGGCTCCGCAGTGCCAGCGGAATGTTCGAGACAAACGTCCACGTAGCAGCGAAAGCCAGGAAAGTCGAGGTCTTGATCAGCCTCGACGGGGGCGGCGGTCCGCAAAGTATCAAGGACTTCGCCGGAGCTGGAGAGCAACATAAGTTCGCCCGAGCCGTTGTCGCGTAAAGTGCCATCCTGATACTTGGGCTTTTTCTTGTGCTTTTGGTGTGTATAAGTGACCTAGTGAGCGGAAGCAGACGGCCATGAGGCGTGCAAGCGCCAAGCTGCAAAAGGGAATGACGTGTCTCGTGAGCCGCTTGAAGCGGATCACAACGAGCCGAACCTGCCACTTGGTCATGTTGCTGGCCGCTTGAGGCCCCGTTGGCTCAAATCACTGGGTCTACTTCCACACGCATATATGACTTGCTGGCGGCCGATCAATGTGGTCGCTCAAAATGTTGGACCGCAGGCCTGGCTCCCGAGTGGCCGACACGTGACAACGCGCAAATGACGACTGAACGAGCCGCCGCAAAGGAGACGGCGGCCGTCCCACGAAGTGACGCATGTGATCCGAAGAGCCAAAGTCAACAATTGAACCGCCACACACACACACACACACACAGAGGCGAAAGCAAAGGGAGCACCAAGCAAACGGTTTTGTCGACAAATCTGGTCCAACCTTTGGCGCGAAACTGCACCTAACATGTTGAGACACGTTTTTTTTTCGTCGCAGAAAATGTTGTTCCTCACTGATTTCGATGCATTCAAATAAAGGAGCCAAGATGAGGAGTGAATTGGGGTGAGAACATGAAGTTTAAAAAAGAGATGATGCAGACCATCATCGAGTACATGTAGATTATTTGTACAAAGATGCAGATCTTGTTGAAGTTTAATAGGTAATAGAGTTAAATATGCTAATTGTTATGCCGAACATATTTGAAAAGATGTAGTACAAAGATAAGATGATGCCGAAGATAATGTCAAAGAGGAAGACCATTGCATTTATTTGGCCAGCAGCAACCCTGGCAGCCGGTGGTGCGACTGGGATCCATCTCCCTGAGCGTGTGTGCGGGCGCCAGTGTTGCTCACCGGGTGTTGGGAGGAGCGTTGCTTGGACTACGGGGTTGGCCACAACCCGACCATGGCTCAGCCTCCACCGCAGACCATGGCCGCAGCAAAGCCTTTACCAGTGGAGCCAGATCTGCAGGATGACTTGCCGGTAGGATGACCGCGCCAGGACACACACCACCAGCGCTCCATCAAACGAAACGCCCGGGTCGTACTATGGCTCACACCGGGTGCGGCCTTCACATAGGACGATGATTTGCAAATCGACGAGGAGGAGGAAGAGCAGCTCACCCAGGCCGCCCAGGGTTGGTACTCGGTGCCGCGACCCTGACGTGGTTTTCCTTTCTCGCATACTTTGTCGCCTTGGGTCCTTTTCCCGTCTTCTTCTCTTCCTCTTCTCGTCTTCCTCCCTTTCTCGCGCGTCCTCATGTTGGCATATCACAACGCAGCATCCAAGCGGCAAGGATCCCGGCGCGACATCAACCCCGTGCGCAGTGCACCGCCCCCGCCTGGTGTGCCGCACCGCGCCACATTGTCGACCACTACCGTTTCCCGTCCTGCCCCCGCAACCAACCCACCGCTCGACTACTCGGAGATTGAAAAGTACAAGATTCTTGACACAGCCGGTGCGCCCTAAATTTAGACCTTGGTCCGGCCATCGAGGCACAAATCATGCCCACAAGAGTTTGTTCGGTGACCTCCTTTCCTCCCCACGCTTCTGTAGGCACGGATCGCCTGGGCCGCCACGTCTTTGTATTCTACGCTGCCCACATGCCCCCTCGTTCAGAGCTGAGCCACGATGACCTTCTACAGTACGATCACCCAAAAGCTGGCCCATCCATCACCTCTTCCCCACCATCTGCATTCTTCGCTTCTCATGCCGACGCGACCATCCAACACCCACCTCATGGATGGGTCCTAGGTACATGCAGCACACGATGGACACGATTGTTGACGCCGACTACTGCATTGTCTACTTTCACCATGGTCTGAGCAGCCAGGTAGCGTACCCTCTCACTCGCACATGCCCATGCTCACCCATCGACCTCCACTCGCACACTCGCACGTGCAGTCTCACGCCTTTGGCGCAGAATAAGCCGGCTCTCTCCTGGATCCGCCGCGTCTACAGCAGCTTTGACCGCCGGTGTGACCTCTTGTACCGAGGCCCCCTCCTTACTCATTCTGCCCTGAGATTGTCCTTTTTTTGTGATTTGTTGCGTTTTGTTTTTCCTTTCTTTTGCTTGATCTTGTCTGTCTGCTTGGCTATGTTCGAACTTGCTTCCTTCAAGCTGACGTGTGGTCGTCTTTGGATTCTTTCACAGATACAAGAAGAACCTCAAGGCTCTTTACGTAGTGCATGCGACCACCTTTGTCAAGACCATTCTCACGCTCTGTCGCCCCTTTATCAGGTCTGCACGCACACGCCCACACATATTTGACGTGTGCGCTTGTGTCTCTCGTTCTAATTTGGCCCCATGCGTCGTGCCGGCCAATCCTAGCTCCAAGTTTGGCAAAAAGGTGACCTTTGTCTCAAGACTTGCCGAGTTGAATCGCGTCATCTTTTTGGATCAGCTCTCCCTGCCCTTCATTGTCAAACAGTACGCCACGATCTCCGGCCCCATGGCATCTCACCCAGCCAGCCCACCTGACCGCCCGCACATCAAATTCTTCGCGCTGATAGACACGACGCCGAACTTGATCGCAAAAAACCGGCCCCGGCAAGCCCGGCACCAGCCGCGAGTGCTGGTTGGTACAACACCATCGTCGGCAACGCTGCCGCCACCTGGCCATTCACGCTCTGGCAATCGTTATGGGCATCGGACTTGGCAGGTCCCAAGCGGGTCTTTGGAGTCCCCTCGCTGGCTAGTATTGAGGACACCAACCCGGACGGCATTCCCAACTTTTTGGTCAGCTGCGTCGATTTTTTGACCTCCAACGGCCTCGATGTCGAAGGCCTCTTTCGCCGCTCAGCCAACGCGATGACCGTCAATGAGGCCAAGGCCGCCCTCAATAGCGGTACGTGACCGGGCCCGGTCCTCTTACACAACTCCAGGCACTTGTCAAAGTGTGGGGTGGAAGAGCCCTGTACTTCTCGCTGCCGGTCTACGCCTGCCCTGATCCTGACATCTGACCGTGGCGTCTACCCACTAGGCCAACCCTACCCCTTTGATGAGCAGACAGACATTCATCTACCCGCGGTACTCATGAAAAGCTTCTTTCGGTGTGTCGAGTGCATTTTGTCCAAACTTGCTTTTGCGCCGCCGCATACGCACCTCATCCTTGAACCCCCGCCATCATCGCAGCGACTTGGGCGAGCCCGCCTTTCCCTCGGACATGTACCATCGCTTCCTCAAACTAGCAGGTATGTCTTGCGCGAAGCGTCGCAAAGACCTCGGTTGCATCACTTACCACATCATTTGCCGCATGTCTCTCACGCATGTTTGGCCATCTCCCGTGACACTCAGGCATTCAAGATGAGGAGGAGCGCCGTGATCAAGCACGTGCCCTGATTCAAGAGCTTCCGCCTGTCAACCTCACGGTCCTACGCTATCTTTTCATGTTTTTAAGCGACGTGGCCAAGCACCAGGATGTCAACAAGATGACAGAGCAGAACTTGGCCATTGTCATGGGTCCCAATTTGTTGTGGTCGCATGAGATGGCAGCTAACTTGGCCGGTACGATTGCCCTGCCTGCGTCTGCTGCTCCGCGCCTCATGACTTTTGCCCACCGCTCTTACCATCCTGTGAGAGACTCACTTGGTTTACTCACCCCACTTGGTACGGAATCGTTGCGGACAGACATGGGACTGATCAACGCGCTAACTTCTTTTTTCATCAGTAACGTGGAAGCATGTTTTGGCTCGGCGTGAGGCCGTGCATCGACAAAAATGGCGACAAATGGGTCCGTGCAGGGCGCGCGCACGCGTGTGTATGCAGACTACCAGCAGTGCACTTATTGGACGCCGACAAGGTTTTGCCTGCAAGACGATGTCTTCCGGCAGCGACGCAGTTTCAGCTCATTTGTTTTTGTTTGTGTTTTTGCTGTGTTGTATCTTGCTTCACCGAATTGACATGAGGGTCATTGAGTGCGCGCACGTGAAAGCTGATGTGGATGAAGAGAATGCCTGACCACCATGGTTGGAACCGAAGACAATGGATTGTTGACCTAAACATGCAAGAAGCAACCAAAGGGAGGGCAGGCGCACGGCGCGAGTTCTCGCTTATTTCGCGTTGGCTGCCGCTGCCGTAGCTGCCTGCTGGCCCTGCTGCAACTGATGGGCCAACACAGCCGTGGGTGGCACCACCAAGCTCTTGTTGGCCTGCCGCGAGTCACACGCAACAAGAATGGGATGAGCGCATGTGACCAGACAAAGCACACCAGCAGGATGCATTTGCGCGAAATGACGAGGACGAACATCAGACGTCATATACTGCTTCAGCAGCATGCGCAGTTCGCCATTTTGTTGCTTTAAGTGATCCACATCGTCGATGCCCTGCGCGCGGTCCGTCAACATTTGATGGTAGCGCTCCAGTGCATCCTATGTACCCAATATACGCAGTCTGCTGTGAGATCTTGTGCGCGTGAGCGATCCCTTGGTGCAGCCCACGACGGTAGGGTTGCAGAGCAGATACCCAACACCCTGCCAAGTGGTCAAAAAGCAAAAGGCACCTACCCGAAGAGCCCCATAGTTACGTTCGTGCTCTGGCGGAACGATATCGGCCAAGCGCTCCCAAAACTTTTCGTTGCGCGATAGCGTCGCTGTTGATGGACCCAAGGTGCCCGCGGCGCCTATTGTGTACCATGTGCACATCCAGCATTAATTCAGGCCCCAAGCACGCCCAAGCATGGCCCGAGCATGGCGCAGCGTAAGGATAAACCGTTCACATACCTTTGGCCGCGTGGCGGGCTTCAACAAAAGCTCGCAGCGCTGGCACCACCTCGACCGCAGGGATGAGGCGAAGGCGATCCTGCTGAGTTTTGCTATGCCCATCACTCTCCTCTTCGTCCCCCGCAGCTTGGTCTTGATCGGATGCAATGAAATACGTCGCCAGCTGCTTCATGTCTTCCTCGGTGTGAACGTTCAGCGCCTTGAACATGGCATCCAACCGAAGCAGGTTCCGGTGCGTGGGCTCGAGATCCTGAAGAAGATCGTCAAAGTTTGGCTCCAACAAAAAGTCCTGTCGCATGTGTACGCAAACATGCCGAGCACACGGGGTACAATTTGCGGTCGAGCACAACAACGATGAGAAGCGGCGACCTTGCCTCGAGAGAGGCGCACATGTTGCTGCAGCGCCGCCGATGGTTATAGAAAAGAGGGGAAGCGGGAGGGGGATACGGCCAAGCAAATAGCCAAAGAACGAGCAGATATACGTACGCCCTCCTCGCACAACAAAGCAAGAGCACGCCGCATCGTGTCCGTGGACAAATGGCCCGAGGCCAAGTCGTCCACCTCTGCATGTCACCATCAGCAGGGTTGTTGTGAGCGAAGAACACAGGTGCCAAACCCGCAGATGCCCAAAGACAACAAACACACCATGGCCTTCAAGGAGCTCCCGGGCAATGGCTGAAGCTGCCCGTGACCGAACTTGTTGCTCGCTGGCTGTGGAATCAAAAACCACCTATGCGCGCAACAACCGAGAATGCGTGGCAAAAACAGAAGGCGTGAAACCCGGCACAGACCGTCGATGTCGGCTCAGGACCCATGCGCTTCATTCATGGTATGCTGCTCACCTCGAGAGGACGAACCCACTGGACACCGAGTTGTTGCTCATGAATGGCTTGATCGGCGGCTAAAAGCTGCTTGGCCAACTCGCTGAGGGCTTCTTCGTTCATATCCCAGACTTCGTCGATGCGGTGCCGATCGGCAGCCGTGAATTGCCGCACCTTCTTCTGCAAATCCTCAAAATGTTGCACAGCTCGTGTGTACTCCTGGGTGAGCGCAAGGTACGCCGGGGAAACGGGCACATGAGTGCATGTGAGAATCAGGGCAATGCAGGAGAGTGGGCTTCATCACATGTTTTCCAAGCCTCCAATTTAGCGCTTCCATGGGTGAAGAATGGTCGGCTGGCCTTACGCTGGTGAGCTTGACATTGTCCTGCTCGATGACATGCTCTTGCTTGGCAATCTTGGTTTGCAGGCTGTTGAGGACGTCGGTCAGCTTGTTGAGCTGACGCTTTTGTTGTGAGATGGTGATGGCGTTTTCCTCCTCGCGTTTCTTAAGGACAGCATAATTATACTCGAGCTTTTCGGTGTTGAGCTGATAGGTGGCCTTCATGGCTTGCAATTGTTGTTGCAGCTGCATGATGTCTTGCTCCAACTTGCCTTTGATGATGCTGTATTCTTCCAAATCGGTGACTCGGAGGTGCTCGAGCTGGCGCTCCTGCTCCTCAACACGTTCTGTGGCTCGCTGGAGATAGGCCAGCTCGCGGTCTCGGCGTGCATCGACCGTGCTCTGCCATTCCTGGCGCGTAGCGTCCAGAAGCTCCTGTCGCTCGGCCATAAAAGCTTCCTCAATCTCCTCCAGCTGCTGATGGTAGTTGGCCGCCAAGGTTTGAATTTCCTCATCGAGGTAAGTTAGCATGCTGTCCACATCCGCCGTTTGCGCTCGAAGCAGGCGAACGTATTCATCATCCTTGGCCTTGAGCTGACCCGAGAACTCAGAGATGAGCTGGTCCTTGCGATCAATCAGCGCTCGACAGGCGGCATGCTGGTTTTGCAGCGTCTCGTGTAGCTCTGGCACGGATTTATTGACTACGCTTTCGGACATGAGCTTCTTGATCCGCTCGTACATTGTGACCGTCACATCGCGCTCCTCCTGTAGGCGTTGGCGTCTGCGAAAAAAGAGAGAGAGGGGGGGGGGGGGGTAGGATGAAATGTAATGAGCAGGATACGCACGATAAACAGGGTGGCCAGCAGTCGTGGCAAGTTCGAGCAGTACCGTTCGGTGCGAGCCGCAGCCAGTTCACGACGACGCTTGCTCTCTGCAAAGTCGGCTGTGACGCGCACGAGCGTCACACGATCAGAGCCCTGCTCGCGCAACTGGTCCAACGCCTGCGAAAGTTGGGACAAAAAGCGTGAGGCAGGTCGCCGTGTGGGTCGTTTGTACACGACGACCGTTTGGGAGAAGAGAGTCAAGTCAGAGAGTGGCTATCAAGGACCCGAAACGAGGTTCACCTGATGGCCCTGTGTGATGCGGATGTTGCTCTTGACAGGCTCTGGGTTGATTTGGCTCTCTTCCTCCTCAGGCTCGTCTTCAATCCTGGACGTGGGGTGAGAGAAAAAAAAAATGAGGTGTATCAAGGCCTGCAAAAGAGGAAAAAATTTCAGTCAGAACCTCGATGTGCAGCAAAACACGGACGTACCCTGCGGCTGCACGGCGCTCGGCCTCGCGTCGAGCAGCGATGCGAAGGCGACGCGCACGGATGCGCTCGTTCGGATCTTCCGATTCCACGCTGGGAGGCAAGGCCGACCGGGCCTTGACCTCCTCGACATCGTCTTCAGCCGGGGTCGTTTTGCTCTGTGCAGCGGCTGGCTCGTTGGTCATTGTGTTTGCGGCCACCTCGGATGCAGCCTCGCCTGGCGCTGCCCCATTTACGTCATCCGAGTCTGCATGCTGGCCTTGCCCGGCAGTCGTAAAGTCTTCGAGCGATCCATTGTCGCCCAGCTCGCCAGATGACTGTGCATCATCGGCTGAGCTCGCCATGGTTCCGCTTGGTCCAAACCAAGGCCACGTCCGTCCAAGAAGGACAACAGCGTCCGAGGAGGGCTTCTCTCACCCCACCGTCCAGTCGCACCCGAGCACCGGCAGGTACATGAATCGCAAACCTGCAAAACTTGCCGCATCCACACACACTGGCTCGCGCGAGCACGAGAGATATAGAGACACAGAGAGAGACACACTCACTCACTCACGCACTCACGCACGCACGCACACGGAGGGAGCCACAGACAGGGAGGGAGTACTTGTCGGTGTGTGTGTGTGTGTGTGTGCGGTCGGGTCGTTTGTCTCCGTCCGGATATATCGCGTCGCTAGCCGGAAAATCTTACTTCACGAGTGATAGGCGTGTAGCTTATCAGATTGCTTGACAACCGCGGGTGAATCTATTGTCAGATAAAACTGGATAGAGATGGAGCTGGAGGGAGGAAGATGGTCAGAGATGGAGACGAGCTGGATCAAGCTGATGAGAGAAACGAAGCAAACGTCAGAATTCAAAGCTGCAAAGTCATAGGGTTTAAGCCGCCGAGGTCAGAGAAGGTAGCTCTGAGGGTGTCTCATTCAGAGATACGGATACGATTGGGAGTCAAAGTCAGAGAGTTAGAGATCAAGTCTCCCGGACGCATTGACCGACGGCGGCTTCAACTGCCTGCTGCTGCTGCTGCTGCTGCTGACGCGTGCGTGTGAGGCGCCAAGTCTTGGGTCTCTTGGAAGCGCTTTTACGGCGCCGCGCAGAAGAGAGGACGAGGTATCGAGCGAGCTGGGGTGGCCGAGCGCGCCCCAGAAGGAAGGAAGGCGTGGCTGGGACCGCACTCAGGCACCGGAGCTCATTTTGTTTTTCAAACAGGCATCATGGACGTGGTCGAGGAGATTATCGAGGAGCCCACGGCGGCAGCTGGCCAAGATGAGGAGGCTCAGGAGGTGTTGGAGGAGGAGCCCTTGGATACGACACAAAGTGGTACCCATGGCGGCGTGTTGGACGTGCCAGGTCATGGTCTGGCTCCGTTTGCGCCCGCCGAGCCCGTGCACCCGGAAACCGCCAAGCTGCACTTGGCTATCGCCAGCGCTTTCAAGGTGTTTGACCATCAGTCGGACAACTCGATCGACGTGCGGTATGTAAACCTTCTTGGGCTGCCGCATCATTAGCCAAGGGGGAGCAAGACTGGAAAACAGGGGGCTGGCGAGAAGTGGGCCGCAACGCTTGCTGCTACTCACGCTCTGTGTCATTCCGCATTCTTCAGAGAATTGGGCACCGTGGTTCGCTCATTGGGTTGTGTGCCCTCTGAAGTCGAGCTGCGTGAAATCATACTTGAGGTGGGCGTTGACAAATCTAGCTTTTTGTCTCCCTTTCCCCTTCCATGTGTATCACGCCATCTCGCACCTGATGACTGCAAAGGGACAAGCAAATTGTTCGAGTGCTGGTTGGAATTGCTGATAATGTCTGCTGATGGTGGGCTATGGCAGTGCGAAGAAGAGGAGCCAACGGGCTTTATCACATATGAACGCTTTGAGCCTGTCATGACGCGAATCTTGGAAAAGAAGCAGTTTCATTGCGATGAGCTGGAGCGCCTGCGCGAGGCCTTTGCGGTGCGGACATGCATCTACGATGGCGTCCCTGCCCGCCACCAACTTGCAGCTCGGCTCTTGGGCTGGCGTCTTCTGCTTCTGCCCCATGATGCCTCTGACTGGCATCTATGGCTCCCCTTGTAGGTATTGGGTGGTAGCGATGATGGCACCATTGATGCTCAGGAAATCATCAAGACGCTGACAGAAGAGGGTACGCTCAATTGGGACCCGGTCCTTTGCACCATGACATCAATGTACCTCTTGTGTAGGCGCGCATGTGCTCGTGCAGAAGCGAGACGCTGTGTTTCTGCTCATGTGGTGGTCGTCGTGTTTCTTTGACGCATCGCAAACGATGCGCGCGACTTCTTGGCATAAACCTGCTTGTCCCTCTCTCTCTCCTCGTGCTTGCAAATAGGCGAGCCCTTGACGCAGGACGAGATTGATGAATTTATGGCGGCGGCCATGGATCCCAATACCAAGGTACGCGCTGTCTTGTCTGTTCGTGTGAACTGATTGACGAGGTGTGGGATTGGCGTGTGGAAGGTTGCTGCGGTGCGTGGCTTGATGATGCATGATGCTGTCGTTGTAGCAAATCTTTTTTGAGGAGCATGCCATGCTGATGCACTTGGACCCGCGCCAGTACGGTGCCCTGTACAATCTCTAAGTCAAAGCGCCGTAGACGGTTGCAAGATTTAGGTGCTGCTGCGTTCGTGGCCAATGCACGCTGTGCGTGCCAGTTCTTGTGCGTTTCTGGTGTGAACCCGTCGTTGAATGTTCATGTGCAAAGGTTTGTGGTGCCCTTTAACCTGCTGAGAAGCTTGGCTAGCGCCCAAGCTTCGATGCAACACATCTGTTTGAGCACGTCCGCAATTCACTGTCACTGTGAATCATCATCATGATGCGTGTGTGTGTGTGTGTGTGTGTGTGTGAGAGAGAGAGAGAGAAGAGAGACTGGTGTTCGGTACTGCGTTTGGACATGGGGTGGGGGGAAGGGCGCGAGCAAAGAGTTGCCTTCACTCCAGTCTTGAAGTAACAAATAAATGTGGGGCTGCGGCGAGGCTTGATAAGGAGTAGAATAAGGAAAAATTGTCAATTTACAATAGGGCGGCGGCAGGCGCCATCATTCATGTCAAGAATCCATTATTTACTAAGGTATGGCGAAGGAACAAACAACTAGGCATACAGATCATCTAGCGCTCCTGTTTTGCGCGGGAATGAAAACCCGTTATGGACAGAAAAGGGAGGAGGCATCGCTCAGAAAAGGGACGGCACAGATTGGCCACCAGAAGGGTAGCTCAAAGTAGCGAGGTCAAGCAAGAAGGGTCAAGAAAAGACAAGGAGACATCTTGGGGCTCCTGAAATGGCAGCGGCTTGTGCACCATGCTTGGCATGGCCCACAGAGCGGCATGAAAGTGGTCACAGATATGCCCATCCAATCAAGCTACGTCAACATGTAGCACGAGAGGAGAGGAAGGGAAGGGGCAACGTGATACTTGAAAAATATAAACAAACGTTGTAATCTGAGGCGCTAGCGATGCCCAATTAAAGAATGGTGGATGGGGCTGGGGCCACGAGGCGCGAGGCATGTTCCATGACCAGACCCGAGTCGGTGGGCTCCATGAGCAGCAGGGAGTGCTGTTGCTGTTGCATCGTGGCCACGGCCACGCGAGTGGGCAGCGGTGCCTCTGACTCGTTCCACCGGGTGGGGAGGGTGTCAGCGGCGGATTCATCCTCCTCGCTGATGGGGTGGGTCGTGATGAAGATGGCAGGAGCGGGATTGGCGAGCTGCAGGCGGTTCATGCCCGAGCGGGTGGTCAATCGGCAGCGGGTCAACAGGGGACCGCTCGAGTCCATGTCTGTTGTTGTCGCTGTGGCAGTAGCAGCCGGCGCTGCCGCTGCCGCCGCCGTGTGTTTCTGTGCTGTCAAACAGTCGGTGGAACGAAGAAGCAGCAGCGAGGGCGAGGACACGCTCCTCTTGGTGGCCATCAAGCCGACCGCTGGGGTCAACGTTGATGCCATGGCTGTTTTCGTCTTCATCATGCAGCTGGCATTTACCGGCGCTGCCATTGAAGCATGCTCCGCCGCCACCGGCATGGAGCCCGTCGACACTTGGAACCGCATCTTGTTGTTGTTGTGTGTGTGAGAGAGAGAGATCAAACGTTCGTCTGTCTGTCTGTACACACTTGTAGCAGTGTGGCGAATGTGCGTATGTGTATGTGTGTGGGAGGGGTGTCTAGGCACAAGGAAAGAGGGGTGTAGGGCCAGGTGAAAGGCACTCAAAGGCTGATGAAACCGCTGATGATGGCACAATGTCCTTTGGGGAAAATACAACCTCGCCCCTCCTCCCTCTGGATGATCATGTTCTGCTCCCTGTGCCCTCCTCGTCCCCCCCCCCCCCCACACACACACACACACCGAGAGTCTTTTGTCCTTTTGGCTCAGGTGCATCTGCGCGCTTGTGTGTGTGTGGGGGGGGGGGGGGGGGGACCAAAAAAACTTGCATGAGTGGGCTCGTGGTGTTGGTGGTCAAGACTGGGATGACTGATCCCGACACTTTGCTATGGATGACCCATTTGTATGTGTTGGCATTGACATTGCAAAGTGAGCATTTATGGGGGTGTGGGTGTTGGGGCTGGCAGCAGACGAGGTCCTGCGGTATGCTTCTGCCCCTTCCTAAACACACTGAACACCCTGAACACCCCCTAACCCCCCTCTTCGCTTCGCTTCTCGCCGCTTGGGACCTTGACGCTTGTGTGCGTGCAGGGCTTGAGCCAAAGTTGCGGCTATGGTCCGGACCATCCACCACACGCCACAACAACCAGCAAACATACTTTTGTCCTGATCAACATTATCCAAAAGGTCGCACCCCATGCCAGACTGCAGGTGCTCTAGGGGTGTCTCCACACGTTTGCACGCTTGTTTGGTGGGGGTGGGGGCTGTGAAAGATCACTGTCATTTTCATCAGTCAAGTCTGACATCGTAAAATGTGAATGTTATTACACTTATATATGTTTATAGTGTGACCAAGTCATGCTATAAGTGATTTGTCTCGGCTAGTTTGAATGGGTCGGTACGTAAGTGTCCTGTGTTGGGATGGACATACCATTCCTGTCCTCCCTCGCATCCACCCGCCCACTCCTGCTCCTCCTTGGCGCTCGAGCGCCCTTCTGCTGCTTGACAGCTGCCTGACTGCTGCTGCTACTGTTGCCATTGTGGTTTGCTATTATTATGCCAATGGAAATGCTGCTGCTGCTGCTGGCTATTCCTTTGCCCTTTGCGCTTGGCTTGTCATCTGGCACCCAGGATGACCATGACCATGACCATGACCATGACCATGCTCATCTTCTTTGCATGCCTGCCTCTTCTTCTTGGACTTCTCAGCCGGCTGGGCTTTTGACGACACATATTGACGACGCATTTCTTTCCATGACCAAGACATCTCCTTCGTAACCACCCAGAGCGTGACATCCGAGCAAAACGTCACCTGCAGGCGTAAATAACGTCACCATCACTACACCTGCAGTTGCAAATTCACTACCAACTAGACCTGTGGTTCCCGAAAAGATTTACATCACCAGTTGTGTCTTCAAGCCCTCTAGCCACGCGCAGTGCACGCACGCCACACGAGTACGCACACACGCTGCGCGTGCCATACCAAAAAGTTTGGGTGGGACTTGTGTATTGGTTGGTTCGGGATGAGTGACCTGCGACGGTCATCAATGTGTTGGGAATTTTTTTTCTTTCACCTCTTGCCAACGCAGCAACGCAGCGACGCAGGAGGACACAAAGGGATCATGCTGTGGCCCCTCTACTTGAAATTTAGGAATGGTGTCATAGTCCAAAGGAAGGGAGACTTGATCTGAATAAACTGACCACTAAGGACAGAAACAACGAACGAGAAACGACGGAACGACTGCACATGTCAGTACACACTCTACACGTAGGACATGAACAGCCGCCAGGTCAAATAGGCAGCAGCCGGTGCCAAACTCGAGAGCATTGAAGCGGCCTCACGCGGCTGCAATACCAGCCGAGACGATAATCAGAAGCGCGGCTCCTTCACTCATCACCCGACGTCAGCTTGTTGATGGCCGTACGCGTGTTTCCCACGGGCTATCAAACAGAGCAGTAACGACACACAAGCCAAAACGTACTGCCCAATGAATAACCAGAGGGTGGACAAGCAGCGACCACCCGAAAAGCCGTTCGACGTACGCCATCGGTAAAGGCCTTAATGTCCTCGACAACCTCCCAGTCTTGTAGCGCCAGCTGGTGTGCCTGCAAGCGATGCATCACGTTCGAATTGCCCGGTCGGCGTTTTCGACGCACCGCGGTTCGCTCCCTATAACCGTCAACAAGCGAGCATTCGCAATCAAAGCGTGGGCGCAGAAAACCTTGACGGGCGAAAGAACATTCAGCAACAGCCGCGATCATTCAACTTCACTCACCCGCGGTTGCGAAGCACGCGATCTGAACCTGAGACCACCAAAACCAAAACGTTTGGCACAGGTTTACGCATGTGAGCAGGTGAAATCGGTCAACACCCTCCAAAGAGTTTGTACCAGATCTGCGCACGCACCGCCATTGCCAATGAGTTCGGTCTTAACGGTACCCTCGAGGTTGTGCTGCTGGGCCAGAAGATTCGCCTTTTCCTGCTCCAATTGCTGCTTCATTTGCCGCTTGATTTGGGCCACTCGCGTCTATGGACGGGACATCGGACACCACAAGTTGTCAGATTGGTCGCAACAGCTGTTGATAACGGTCTTTGGGTTTTGTCTTGTGTCTTCACTCTCTCTCACTCAATCCTCTCACACACACACACTCTCTCTCTTTCTCTCTCGCTCTCATGCGCCCAAGGCAGACTTGGCACAAACCTCGCGCTCCTTTTTCAAATCCTCACAGCAGGTCTCGTACTCATCGAGAATAGACTCAACCTAAACAGGCACGACAAGTCAGCAAAGGACAGCTGGTGGGCCTCAAGTTCGATCACGCCGCCAAACAAGACAAAACCCTCAACCCCTTTTCCGCTGTGCACAAACTAAAGCCCCTCTCAGACACTGAGATGGACGCTCATGACTCTGCAGACGACACACGAGCCAGCGCAGCCACCAGCAAAACCAACCATGCGGTCAAAGACAAATTCAGACTCCTTCAAACGAGCATCCCGATCCGATCGACACTGTTCGCGCAGCTTGTTCACATCCGCGTGTGTAGCTGTAACACACCAAGTGGCGGCCAGCAGCAAGCACCGTCGCCACCCGAATCAGAGAAAGGGAGCATGCGCTTGAATCTCAAACATGTCCTGATCTAGAAATCAAGAGACAAGGCGTCTGCGCAGGGCCCACGCACCATCCTTATACTGCTTCAGCGTCAAATCCAACTCCCGTAAGTCTCGTTCAAAGATGCTGTCACCCGCATCGATAAACTCGGATTAGATGCCCTCACGCCAGTCAGGTCCAATAAAGCCTCAAAAGACAGGGAGGAATGCGCTGTGCTCGTCATGTGCTTCGAGCCTTTGCCCAACACCCTCTTTGAGCATATGAGGCTGGAAAGCTTGGGCTTGCTCTACGTACCGGTCTCGAAACGCTCGGTAATCATCCGAGATCTCGTAGCGATATGGATCCCGGCGACGCGCTGGCCGCTTGCGACGTCGGACCAACACATCGTTATCCTCTTCGTTGTCTAGTGCATTCCCCAAGATAACATGCACCGGGTCATCAAACTCAGCATACAAAACAAAAACAGACGACTCAAGCTTGCCAGACAGAGACAAATCAAGCCTGAAGCGTAAACAACAGATGGAAGAAGGAGGGGGAGGGAGGAAGAGCGAGCGAACAGACGAGCAAGAGAGGGACCCAGCTCCAGCTCCAAACATCTGCAAACAGCCTTGCCCGGATTCGCACGAACCTTCCGAGTCGGTGGTCAAGTGGGCCTCAGCAGTGGCTGCCGACCCCCCGCTTCGCCGCGACAGCGCTCCACGCTTGGCCATTCTCCCCACGTGCTATGGTTTCGAGTACGCATGCATCAGCATGCTACCGCTGCGAGCAGCAGGCACGGCACGCAGCTCTCGAAGAGAGGGCCAACATTTGCTAACAAAGGACCCACCGTAAAATCGAGGACGGACAGCCGTTGATCCAAGCCAACAGTAGACGGTTCCAGATGGACAGCGTAGCTCACCCCAGCCACCTGGGACTCTCAGCAACAAGCACCAGCACACCCGCGCACACACATGCACATACACATTCACACACCACACCCCAATCTGTGGGCAGGCAGGCAGGCAGGCATCCAACGAGCGGTTGCAAGGGCTGCACACACAAATGGAGAGAAAAATGCGAAAATAAAAAAAAAAAAAACCTCTGTATACGGTAGATGTCGTGGCGTTGAATGCACTTTGTGCAGTTTTGAATACATTCGCTCTGTTGGAAAGTGTTGTTACGCATCAGGTTATTGTCGGTAGCTCTGCTTTGATCAGTCAGATTGGGTTCATTTACATGTGCCAACCAAAATACATCAAACTCGGAATGTCAGAAAGTATTGTCAGAAAACTTGCGGAACAAACAACACAAAAAAAAACTTCTTGTATGAACAAACGAGAGGCCTTCTAGCTAAAAAAAAACAAAAAAAAAAGACTTTCGGTATTGAGAGCACGATTGGGTCACACCGCAAGACGGCAACGTGAAGAACCGTTCAGAGGGCGCTGCGTGGAGCAAGCTGGCGCTCAACCAAGCACACCCTCGGCGCTTTCGAAACGGCTGGCAGCAAAGCGAGTGGCTTCGCGGTGAAGTGTGCCCAGATCGATGTTTTCCCGGTGAAGCGCTGTGACAACAACCCAAGGCAGATGATAATTGCGCATCAGTGTAAGATTCGGAACCAGGGATGAAAAGATCACGAGTCGAGCATGCAGCAATCGCTACGCACCGGCTTTGAGACGCTCGTCGACCAAGTTGCTGCCGTCACCAAACACCTCAACAACAGCCCCATCGGGTAAGCGCAAAAACTGTCGAAACACCTCGCGAGTGCCTACGACATCAATGGTCACGTGGGATAGTGAGGCGCCGCATCGTGCCATCCTAGACAATTCTCGAGTCACAAACAGGTCTGGAGGCAGAACGACCCACCATTCAGGCGCAACGTGTAGATGGAGACGTGGGTCGTGGTCTCCACGACCTTGGCATCCAAATCGATTGGTTGGGTCCGGTCGGTGCTCGGGCCGCTCTCGCCGTGCAAAGCTGTCCCTGGCTCGTGGGTCCAGTTGTAATCATAGACTAGGACCTTGCGGCGCTCTCCATGGCGGCCACGCCAGCGCTCGGCTCGCTGTACAATAAACGACAGCTCCTGCATCGAGACCTCCGTATCATAGGGCACCGCAAAGGTCTCCTCGCCCCCGGAGAAGCGCTGAAACAAGTCCACAATTCGCCCATTCATGTGCATCTTCAAATAAAACACATACATCATGCTCATGCCTAGCCCAAGCACCACACGCACCAGACATAAGCCCGTTGAATGCCGGTAGTCCAAACCACGACCATGGACCCACGCACGCCCTCGCATCTCGAGTCGAGGAGCAAGGCTCTTACCCGTCAGGATAATCACGAGGTAAATAAAAATGGTCAAAAACACGCCGGGCAAACCCCCGTCGTCGCTGCGCGAAAAATGATAGTACAGCTTGAAAGCATCGCCCACAGGCTTGGCGCCTCCATAGTCGTGCCAACGACGGTAGATGACGTCCACGAGAAGCACCAAGATTGGGTCGAGCACCGCCAGCACGCCAAACGCTGATACAAAACGGTAAATGGGCTCGAGCGCGTTGACTCGCAGTAGTCGCAGGACCGCGACCAATGCAAAAAAGAAGAGAAGCACCAGATATACGGCAATGGGCCCCATGGCCACCACGCCCACCTCCTCCTTGGTCAGCACCAAGCTCCCCTATGTGCATTACCAAAGCAACCCCAGCAAGTCCCACAAAAAGTTAAGACAGTGTCCACGCAAGATACCCAAGCAAGCCGCTCATCGACAGAGAAAAAAAACCCCCCCAAAAAGTCGCACCTGATAGTTGAGATTGACGGTCAGGGCACGAAAACGTAGCTCGCTGACAGGAATTGAGACGGCCTGCAGTGCGCACATTATCCATGCCATTGATTGCACAAATAACAAGGTGAGCGAACAACGCAGCATACTCCAGCGTCACGCTACTTCACGCGCCTGGGTCCAACCAGACGCACCATCAAAAAGACGTATTGGCCCGAATAATGAATGTAAGTACGCAACCAGAAAGCTAGCAGTAGGCTGAAAACGGTGACCCAGAATCCTTGCAGCTTGTACTAGCACACACACAAACAACAACCAGCATCATCAGTACATGGTCCATGGTCCAAGAAGAGGGTGCGGCGTGCACAATCAGCCCGGGGTCGATCGGTGGGCCAGTGGTTGGGCTGGAGCTCTGATGGTGTTTTGTGTGTGTGCGTCCTCGAGAAAAATAAAACTGCGGCGCCGGACACTTACGTTGTGAAGGCTGTACTCGGATTTGAGGGCACGCCAAATAAAGTCGGTTTTAGTGCCAAATTTGTAGGACAAGCCCATCTGGCGTTCGGCTGCCACCGAGTATTTGTACTTGTCCAGCTCAAGAACGTCATCAAAAGCATGACCATCGTCTTCGGCCACTGTCTGCTCCTCGCTCAGCACACCCATGACGTGAGCACGCTCGTTCTCCTCAAAATAGTGCTGCTGCAAAGTATCGTGCTTGATGAAAAATCGCAGACCAGTCTCTTCCTACAGGCGAAAAGGGCCAAAGAAACAGGACCCCAAAACAACATGTGCGGCAAGCCGTGAGTTGAATCGCGTCCTGAGACCCAATGACTTGTCAATGGTGCAATTTGATTCTCACCTCCTGAGTGTCAACACCTTCGTCAACGTCCGTGGTCAGATCGCCAGGACCCTTCTTCGATTTGCCCCAGGCTCTCTGGCGACGCCGCAGCTTGGCATGAAGGCCCTCAATGACATCAGGACGCCTATTGTTGAAAAAAAGCATCATGCAGATGGGCGCCGCATCAGCATCAAGACGCAAGGTCAAGCCAAAGTGATGTCGGGCCAACGGAAGTCACATACTGGAAAAACGACGTTGCCGTGGGCAGCATGGACGAGTGGGGCAGGGTCAGCGGTCCATCCTTGTCCAAGTCGGTGGTATCCGCGTCAGGACGAGAGGGAAAGCCTGATGGGTATCATGGCGTCGCATGAGTAAGCACACCCAAGATCTCAGCCTCGCAGCTGGGCCTGAACAGAGCACAGACAGCAACAAAAAAATAAACAGCAAGAGGCAGCATACCGATTCGAGCACTCGAGTACTGCAGCTCAACTTCATACTCGCGCTGCCCGCCCGAGTAGCGCGGCAATGGGGTCACCTCAAAGTAGCTGCAGTGCAAATTGGCACAAGGAGACCCATGTAAGCACGAAAGAACAATGGCAAGACACGGCACAATAGATAGTGCAGCAAAAAAGGGGGTACATACGTGTTGCAGAGCCAATTGTCAACACTCTTGTCCAAGCGCTTGTGGAAGGCGCCATAGCTGTCAACGGTGGCACTGACATCGCCGCGCAGCATTGGCGTCTTGTAACGTCCGCGAACCAATTCAAAGTCTAAAATACAAGGACATGAAACAGTCGTCAAGTGAGGGGACGGCATGTGATCGACGCAAGAGGCACGGTCCAGGCAGTTTATCACCCACCAGAAGACACGAGAGGGAAGGCAGACCATCCCAGAGCCGTGTCAAAGGGGCGACCGTCACCACGCAAAAGATATAGCTCAAAAATCAAGACGAGACTTGGGTTGAGGGTGGCCTCTGATGGGCACACTGTGAAGACGCTCTGATCGATCTAAAGAAAAAGTAACGAAAGACATGATAGCGCGGCGTGAGCGTCGCCCGTCCGACGTGCACCAGGCAGCAGCATTGCCACTGTGAATGGTTCTTTGTCCAATTACACACCTTGGTGGTGAGATTGAAGAATTTTCCACCGTGATCAAAAGACAGAGTTGAGCCCTGCCATTCTTGTCCTGCGCTCTCGGCCACACAGGACAGTGAGAGGACGCCAGCAGTACACGATGACCCGTCTTTGCTGGGGCTTACCTTTGAGACGCGACCAACGGAGCGGATGGCCGCCCAGTTGGTCATACATGGACACGGCCATGACCAAACGCCCTGTGGGTGCCTTGTCTCGCAGGCCTCGCAGGCCCACGAGCTTGACCTTTGCGCAAGCCAAGAAAAAAAGAAGTGAGCAAAGCAAGGGCCTGGGCTGCACGAGACAAGAAAAAGACAGGATCTGAGCGATTGGCCTACCCGGATGGGTTGTGGAGTGTGGCGCCAATCGAGGCGCCATCGGCGCTGTTTGGAGGTGTCGTAGATGCCATCTGAGCGCAGAAAAGTCCGAACAACGGGAGCGCGTTAGACAAAAAAAAAAAAAAAGTTCGGGCGGGAAGGATCGCCGCAGAAAGAGGCGCAGAGACGAGCATCAGGTGCGACCCGAACCTGCAAGCATAAGGTTGCCATAATAAGTTTGGACTTCGGCTTGGCGTTTGCGTAACGCATGAATGAGCCGAGATTCGGCTTTTTGAAAGGCCTGTGCGTGGGGTAGGGGTGTGGAGCATCGGACAATAAGTATAAACGGAGCTACGGAAGCGACGGCACTCTGCGAGTGATACCTGATTGAGCTTATCCTCCTCGCGACGTCGCTGCTGGCGAAGCAGGCGGCGTTCCTTGGTCAAACGTCGGCTTTGCTGGTCGTAAAGTTTCAGCAGTTCTTGACGCGCCTCGTAGGCCCGATGCAGCAGCTGTTCTTGGTGATACTCGAGATAGGCACGGCGCTGCCGATACAACAACATCGTACATGGCGTATGCAATGCGTAGTGAGGCAGACGTGAGGCTGACACGTCCCGCCAACTGTGCTTGTGCAGCAGAGGGACACGGCAGAGGCTTGCCGACCTTGTCATCGTAATCTTGCAAGTCCGCTTTGAGGCGAACCTCTTGTGCGCGGACTTGATCGGCGTCCAGGCTGTGTTGAGTTGCAACGTGAGGTGGCTGACCGGCGATTCTGCGATGATGGGCACGCGGTCTGAGATTGAAGCAGCAAGGAAACGGACCTGCCCAAAACGACGTGGTCATCATGACCAGGACTGAATAGGTCACCCTGCAGCTTTTCCTCGAAACGAGCCACCGAGTCTTCGAAATGAGCCCGTAGATCGACAAAGCTTTGCGTGTCAGGGTCAGCCAAGCCATCATCCGCGAGGCGCAGAGCATCAATGTCGTAGGCCAGCTCGTCAAGGGACGGGAACTCGTCCAAGAATGGATCTGCGCTTTGATTCGCGGCCATAGCTCCCGCTGCAGCAGAAGCAAAGGGTTGAGAGATGGGCCAACAAAGCCCAGATGGAATTGATGAAAGCTTGAGCCAAGTGAGACACAAACCAAGGACACACCTTCGATATCAGCGCTAGCACGGGCCGTAGCGGCGGCTGGCGCCGCAGCGGCGTCCTCCATTGCGCCGGAGACCTCGATCAGTCCTCCTACCCAAATGCACTCACCCAAGGTGAGGCCTGCAGGTCTGCCAAACCGACGGGCCTGCACTCGAACAGGGACACGACCTGCTTGACGCCGAACGCCCCCACCTGCTCAAGATTAATGTCCGCCCAGGCCAGAGCGGTGCAGGGATCAAAGATCAGCGAGCCCACGCAAGAGAGAAAGAAGAGAAAAGCGGCAAAGGGAACCAAGAACAAAGACCAGACCAGCGGCGCAGGGGAGGGAGGGGAATGGTGCACAGCGCCCGAGCACAAACCCAGAGGCACCACCACCAGCAGCACAACCAGACAACGAGCAGGGGGGGAACGTTGGCGCACACACACACAGAGAAAAAGCGCGCGCTGTGTGAAAGGGAGAGAGAGAGAGAGAGAGAACAAAAGAATTTTCTCAAAATTTTGAGAGGAGAGTGTGTGTGTGTCTGTGTGTGATCAACGTGTGATCTTTTTGTGTGTGGCGCTGTCTGTCCGCTGGTACATTAATATGTGTGTTGGTAATCACACTTCGATCATCCCGATCTATTTTGAAGTGTAGCAGACATCACACTTGCGTTGGGTGCCTTAACAACAACGCCGAGGTCCTCCCCTTTGACTGACCGACAGGATGACAGAATGATAGACCTTTGACTGTGTTCGCCTGCTGTCAGTTACTTTCTGCTCACTGATTTCGCCAGTCCATTACTTGATGTTCGTCTGACATTGCTGCTCAACATGATTTGTGTGTGTGTGTGTGTGTGTGTGTGTGTGTGTGTGTGTGTGTGTGTGTGTGTGTGTGTGTGTGTGTGTGTGTGTGTGTGTGTGTGTG